GAGTCTGCGCATCCGTCATCACAGAAAGTGGGCATATGTCACAGAGTATTCGTAACATAGTTGATCTGTGAGCCTGGCATTGTGTTAATATGTTCATGTTCTCTGGTGATTAAACAGTTCCCAGATGAAAAGATGAAGCGACCGAGAGAGTGTATATTTGCGTGTTGTGAAAGAAGGAAAGGGAGGCGGAGAATGTTCGGACTGAAATGTACGCCTGGAAAGTTGCCCGAGGCCTCCCGTGCAGTTTTGCAGACTCACCCAATCCGCTCTCTTCCTTTCTCAGCGACCTTCATCGTCACGATCAGTACAAAGGTAACTTTATTGTTATATGATCGTTTCTCTTGGTATCTGTTTGGGCTATACTACTCCCACGCTGTTATTTGCTTGCTTTTGAGGGGTGGATTCGAAAGATCTCGGCCTGCTGCATCTATGCGAACATACATGCTTTTAGTGAGTGGAACTGCGCCCCCATCCTTCTATATCCTAGCGTCATTGTCTGCTTTCCTGTTTACTCGTCTTCTTGAAATGATTTGTATGGTCAATATCTGACGTTGTTTTTAGTATCTGTCATGATATGATGCTGCCTTTTTCCCGAGCCTTTTCCTGACGCCACCGCAGCGCAGCGCAGCCATAAGAAGTGGGCCCACCCACTATGGAACAAAAGATTCGGATTTGACCATATTGTATTCGCGTGCTATGGACGGGCTCTCTGTGCGAAGAGAGTAGTTACTATCTCATACGTTTCTGTGCCGGTTGGGGTGGATTCTTAATATATCACACACACCCTGCGAGGACCTGCATCTGCATCGCCCCTTCCTAGCTGGGAATTCCCCCCTCCTTCCTAATAGGTATGGAGGCCAGTACCACCACAATCGGGACCCAGGGTCTCAATGGGCATCTGCATGAGTTGGGAAGAGCCGACGGCAACGGAAGGGCCCAAGCAAGCAACCACGCCAATGGAAGCGGACTCCGTCCTTTACTTCCATACCATCAGGGTCTCCTGCCCCAAGTCACTCAGCAATTCTATCCGTCCGAGAGAGATCCTAAGATTCACCTAAAAGGCCCGCCTAGCCTCTTGCCGTCGAGTTCAATACATTTTCGTCATGCATCGAACGGGGATTTGACATCGGGTTCTGTTGACTCTCGCGGTACAAGGAGTAGCGTGAATGGGGTCGATGCTATGTCGCATAATACGAGCCATGCGTCCCACGATGGTACTCCCGATGAATCGGCCACGACGGCGTCGATGACGTCTTTCTCGGAGTCGAAACCGTCGATGCCGCCATCCGTCCTTGCTAATCATTTCTCTTCGCCCGACTTCCGAGCAAGTTCTAACCCTACTGATTTTGTATCCGGCTCTCCGAGGTACCGTCCAAAGTCATCCATTCCATCTAGACTTCCCACCGGGGTCTATGCGCAGCAGTGTGTTGCGGCAGCGTATGCCTCTCGACTGGACCCCTACGCCCTTCATAAGAAAGAACAGGAAGCGTTGCAAGATTATCTGTGTCATCTCCATGTCACCGTGTACCTCAATATCCGAAACGGGATCCTTCGACTCTGGACCCGTAATCCGATGGTCAGTGTGACTAAGGAAGAAGCCATGGGGTGTGCTAAAGACTATCGCTGGATGAACCTGGCCGCTTTTGCGTATGAATGGCTCGCGCGAAATGGATATATCAACTTTGGCTGTGTCGAGATCCCCGCGTCCCTAGCGACGCCCAAGAAAGGCCGGCGCAAGGAAGGCCCGGTCATCGTGGTAGTCGGTGCCGGGATGGCGGGGCTGGGATGTGCACGACAACTAGAGGGCCTGTTCCATCAGTATCGGGATTCTTGCGTGTCACCACGTGTGGTACTTGTGGAGGGAAGACGCAGGATCGGAGGTCGTATCTACTCACACCCTCTACGAAGCCTCCGACCGTCTGGAATGCCACCTGGTATGGTCCCCAAGGCCGAGATGGGGGCGCATATTATAGTAGGGTTCGACCATGGGAATCCGTTAGACGCGATCATTCGGGGCCAGTTGGCTCTTCCGTACCATTTGTTGCGAGACATTTCGACTATCTACGATATAGACGGATCGCCAGTAGACGAAGTCCGGGATGCGATGGATGAAAGGCTTTACAATGATGTTTTGGATCGCTCCGGGTTTTACCGACACAAGTCTGTCGTCGTGTCGACCGCGGAGGGTGATCGGGATTTCGTTGATTCCGGTCGCGACGTGGTGGCCAGTGACGGTCTGACCGTAAGGCAATACGAAGAAGCCAGGGCAGCTGGGACCATCGAGTCATTGCTTCCTGCGAAACGGGTGCGTCGAGGAGTGGGCCATAAAACCGCCGGCATAAAAGCACCCGGCGTCCCAGTGGCCGATCTCGGTCCCACCGAGGAACAGCCAGCTGCGCTGGCCTGCCAAGCGATGGGGTGGAACTTGAATAGCGGGATATCCCCCATTGACTCGCTCAATCTGGACCCTGTTGCTCGAGCATCGAAACACCCAACCCTGGGAGCTGTGATGGATGAGGGCGTGAAACAGTACAGGCGCATGCTTCCCCTTGCCCCCAAAGACATGCGTCTGCTCAACTGGCACTTTGCCAATCTCGAATACGCGAATGCGGTGAATATCGACAAGCTAAGTCTCTCGGGTTGGGATCAGGACATGGGAAATGAGTTCGAGGGCGAGCACTCACAGGTCGTCGGTGGATATCAGCAGCTCCCTTATGGCTTGTGGTCGCTGCCGAACAAGCTCGATGTACGGACGAACAGGATTGTAACCAATATCTCCTATGACCCTGCAGACAGGGCGACTCAGAGGGCGGTAGTCCATTGTGAAGATGGCGAGGTGTTTGAGGCCGACAGAGTAGTCTTCACCGGTTCGTTGGGCGTGTTGAAAAGCCAATCGATTCAGTTCTCTCCCCCGCTACCCGACTGGAAGCGTGCAGCCATCAATCGCCTTGGCTTTGGGGTTTTGAACAAGGTGATTCTGGTATTTGATCAGCCCTTCTGGGACACAGAACGCGACATGTTTGGTCTTCTTCGCGAACCGAAGACCCGGGATAGTATGGTCCAAGAAGACTACTCTGCTAACCGTGGCCTTTTCTATCTCTTCTGGAACTGCATGAAGACCACCGGACTTCCGGTCCTGATCGCTCTTATGGCCGGAGATGCCGCCCTCCAGGCGGAGTGCACGCCAGACGCAGAGCTCGTTGCCGAAGTGACCAGCCAACTCCGAAATGTCTTCAAGGACACGGCTGTTCCCGATCCGCTCGAGACTATTGTTACGCGCTGGGGCACAGACAGGTTCACGCGCGGCAGCTACTCCTACGTAGCAGCACACGCGCTCCCTGGAGACTACGATCTGATGGCAGCCCGGCTCGGCAACCTGCACTTTGCAGGCGAGGCCACCTGCGGCACGCACCCAGCCACCGTTCACGGGGCCTACCTCTCGGGTCTGCGAGCCGCATCCGAGGTGATAGACTCTGTCCTGGGGCCTATTGAGATCCCTCATCCTCTCGTCCCCGAGAAAGGCAAGTCCTTCGACTCGAGCACCTCAACCCCCGCAGCAACCGGCCAAAAGCGAAAGGAACCACCCTCGTCCTCCGATCCAGGAGACCCAACAACAGTACCACTATCTCCCGAAGACGCCCGCCGTCAAGCCTACGATAAAGCCATGTTAGCCGCCGTCCACGCGGATATCGGACCTCCCATGCCACGACCCGCCCGCACGGGCTTGAACCCGTTCCTGCTGTACCAAAAGGACTACTGGGGCAAATGTCGGGCGCAGTGCGACGAATTGCGCCGCGCTGAAACGGGGGACCCTGCCGCACGAGCTGCCCGGGACGAAATCCGCGCCGCCTTGGGTCTCATGTGGCGCCAGGCACCTGGGGAGGAGAAACGGCCGTATATCAAGCAGACCGATGTCAATCGACAAATGAATGCGGAGATCTGTGATCGTTGGAGACGATCGCTTGCTGAGTGGGAGAAGAAGGAGCGGAAGCTGAAGGAGCGGTGGTGTAGGGAGCATCCGTTTGAGATGTGGATGTCTGGCGGGGTGTCGGCTGATAGCAGACCTTCCGGAACGAGTGCGAGTGTCTCGGATGTTGTTGCCCCTCGCCTTCCTCCTGCAGCAGTAGCACTCGCCGCACCCTCTTCCGCCTCATCTGCCTATTTAGTCGGACACGAGAGTACCAACAATCCTATCTCGAGCACAGAATCTTCCGCCGCAGATTTCACCAATACTACTGCACCTACTGCTGCTGCTGCTGCTGCTGCTAATGAGGATGGACATACGAATGGCATACGATCAACAAACGCGACGCAACCTAACCCTATAATCACTCCGAATCTCCCACCCAGCTTCAATAGCGATCAGTCATTAAAGCAGTGAATCAAACATGCTTGCTTGCTTGCTTGTTAAATATTCTACATATTCAGCCTCGGCTTCTCCCCCTCCCTGGCTACTCGCTATTATACCCCTACCTCTCAATATCATGTCTAGTATCTCACTAGGAGTAAATCAAGCCAAACAATTTGATAGATTCAAACAGAATATTTTTTCAAGCTACGATCCTGACACATACATAGGCACTTGATTCTAGTCTACTATACTTACATCGGTAGATAGGTAAGTAGACGTTACGGTTTAAAAAAAAAAAAAAAAGAATAAACCAGTCAATCCTCGAGGATTGCTTGTTCAATTCTATGTATGTATCGTATGTATGCATGTATCTATTCTATCAAACGCGGAAATACCTCTTTTCTTTCGTCTCTTCTCTTCTTCTTTGTAAACTTCTTAGTAAACAAACAGCACCCAAGAATAGGTAAAACACAAAAGACCAAGGAACGAGAGGAAAAAAACGTAACATCGCTGAGTCTATACAACCATTTCTAGAAAAAAAAAATAAAAACAAAAAACAAAAACAAAGACCAAGTTCAAAAGATAAAGTTGAGGGTGGGAAGAAAAGTCCGGACATGATGTGGTATGAAATGAAGATCAAAAACTGTTTTGTCTAGAGACTCAGAGAGACGTCATAATCTAGATATCTATTCAGGAATAAAAAACAGAGGAAGTCATGTCATGTCATGTCTGGAGGAGTGAGGGAGGAGAGGAGTATAATGGAGTTCACAGCAACGGGTTGGTCTTGTATTCCACGGCGGTGTCGGGCTTCTCGGTGGAAGTGGCGGGTGCCTCGGCCTCGATCTCGGAGATGAACTTTTCGGCTTCCAGGGCGGCGATGCAGCCGGTTCCTGTTGTTGTGAGTATTATTTTCTATATGATATAGAGAGGGGGAGAGGGGGGGGAACATACCGGCACTAGTGATGGCCTGGCGATAACGCTTATCCTGAACGTCACCAGCGGCAAACACACCCTCGAGGCTGGTCATGCTGGTACCGGGCTTGGTGAGGATGTAGTCCTCGTCGTCGAGGTCGACCTGGCCCTTGAACAGAGCGGTGGCGGGGTCGTGACCGACGGCGTAGAAGAGGCCGTTGGCGTCGACGGTCTCCTCCTTGCCGGTGACGGTGTCCTTGACGCGCAGGTGGGTCATCAGGCCGCGGGGCTTGTCCTCGCCGAGCACCTCGACGCACACGGTGTTCCACCGGACGTTCACCTTGGGGTGCTCGAGGAGGCGCTTGGCCATGGTCTTGCTGGCGCGGAGGGCGTCGCGACGGACCAGGACAGTGACGCTGCTGCCGTACTTGGCGAGGAACATGGCCTCCTCAGCGGCGGAGTCGCCACCACCGATCACGTACAGGGGCTTGTTGCGGAAGATGGGCACGGCGCCGTCGCAGACAGCGCAGGCGCTGATGCCGTTCTGCCAGTACTTCTGCTCGCCGGGGAGGTCCAGGCGACGGGCGTTGGCGCCCGTGGCGATGATGACGGCGTCGGCGGTGTGGGCGGGCTCGTTGTCCGGGCCGTCGTTCCACTCCGTCCACAGCTTGAAGGGTCGCTGCGACAGGTCCACCTTGGAGATGGTCTCGGTGATGATCTCGGTGCCGAACCGGGCGGACTGCTTGCGCATCTCGTCCATCAACTCCGCGCCACCGATGCCGTTGGGGAAACCGGGGAAGTTCTCAATGTCGGTGGTGGTGGTCAGCTGGCCACCGGCGGCGGTGCCGTTCGCCAGCATGCCTTCGTACATGACGGGCTTCAGCTCCGCTCGCGACAGGTAGATGGCGGCGGTGTGGGCGGCGGGGCCGGAACCGATGACTGGAGGGGTACGGGTTAGTTTTCTCTCGCTCCATTTCGCGAACTTGCGTTACTTCCACAAGATAAATCAAGACAGCACTTACTAACGACTTTGCTGTGAACCATTCTGGCAGAATTGACGCGCAACGGCGTCGTGAGGTTGTTTGAAAGAGCCGAGGTAGGCGGGGGGGAGTTCTTGTGCAGGGACGACGCGGCAGCGGCGGTCAATCCAAAGGAGGAGCGAAGGGAGGAGAAGGGAAAGCGACGAAAGGCGGAGGAAAACAGCTTGACGGTGTTTGCAATGAAACCGGGGGGAAAGAAGAAAGAGAAGGGAGAGCAGCTGGGGGGCGTAATTAAGAGGGGAGCGAAGAGGGGTGGAATGGGCGGGTGGAGCAAAAAAAAGGGCTGGATGGCGGCGGATTAGCTAAGATAGGGTAGTCACGTCAAGCCGAACCGGATTCTGAATAATGTCGATGCCAAAACAGATAGATACAAGACTAGAGATTGAGGACGAGAATTCTCCGGGCAAATCACAAGCGACGGGGGCGTCTGAAGGTATTCCCAGCAGAGAAACCCAAGAAATCCCAGCGTCGTTCTTAGAAATCGGATGTCACGTGTGGATTACATAAGAGTCCAGACCGTCTTGATTATCGATCAATCTCATAAGATCATTTCCTCTGGTTATCACTTCTTCGTTGCCTCTCTGAGGCTGGACTCTGAGGCTGGACTCAAATGGCTTTTCTTCAACTCATGGCACGCTACTACCGTCTCTATTACTTCTAGCGAATGCAAACAATTGTTTTCCCACCGTCCCACGTAACTCTCTTCCTCATCCTCATCTTGAAGGCATGATGCTTGGTATCTATGACTGCGCCGTTCTCCCCTACGAGTTGCGCGGAGGGAGCGAACACGATAGCTTCCCCGGTTCGTAGGCCAACAATTTGATGGAACCCATCAGGAGTCGACTCGCTGTGCTGCCCGCTATTTTGACGATTCATCGGGACATGCCGTTCAATCGTCCTGTACCATTCGGGGCTTGTGAATCGGTGAATGATCGTCACTGAGCAGAGGTCGATCAACCGAGGGGAGATGGTTGGCTCCTGGGTGGAGATGATGGTACGGACTCCCAGATGTCGTCGTTGTCGGATTATGGTCAGGAAAGTCTCGGTAAGCACCTTCGCGGCTGGCGTATCGGTCATGTACTGCAAACCCGATGTTAGCGGACAATGAATCAAGTTACACTGTAATCAGATAGAAATATACTTTATGTGCCTCGTCAGCGACGATCATCTTCCCTCGCGACGCATGGGAGTGGAGAAACAGCTCAATGGTGATACGGAAGAGAACGCACGCCGTGCTCTGGTCGACGAAAGGGCAAGACAAGTCCAGGATGGTGACACCGCCGTCAACAAAATAGTCGCCTGAGGTCTTTCCGGTAAGATCAAGATACGAGTCAAGTAGATCTAGCCTTTGGTGCAGAAAAGGTGTCTGGGCACGACTGAGATTGAGGGCATGTAGGCGGGCCCGAAAATCATAATAATCAAAGTAACCCCCGCTCTCCATGGCCATGTCTCGAAGGACTCGGGTTACTTGTTGCATGTATAAGGGCATTTCATTACCCTGAGAGACAGACATAAGCGAAAGCATCATACTTATGTTGAGGTGCTTGGGCTGAATCTTGAACGGTCGAACCTCGACGCTGGGTATCTGCGAGTACATCCTTTGGAGGTTGTGGAGGTTTGTTGGAGAAACTAGCACACGCAATGGGACTGGCTGCTCTTGTGCATACTGAGGCATGACTCTCGCAAGGAAAGCTGCCTCGCTGGGCTGCGAGCTCATTGTTGAGCTGTACTCATCAAACTGAAGGACAAGAGTCGAAACGGACTTTTGAAGGATCCCCAACGACGGCATTGTCATCGAGCAGTTCTCTGTAACATATTAGACTGAGGCTTCTCATCTGGGGAAGAGCCATACCGATCATGCAAGCAGTGGTGTGCGATTTGCCACTACCCTGCACGCCACAGACAAAGGCCGAGAACGGTATGTTTGTATTCAGCATAATCCTATGATCCGGTAATGCGTCCCCCGCAATGGCAGTCTTCCCGAGCAGCGCATACTGAGATGGTAGCCGGTATCCGCGGCTCTCAAGTAAGGGAGAGACCAAAACAGCATTCTCTGTGGGTAAAGTACCCCTGGTCTCTTCCTCTTCATCATCATCAATGGACAAAAACTGCCACTGTACCTCTAGGGATGGGCCAGGCTGAGCCTCTTCCGAAGGCCCAAGAAGATTTCCGACAAGATGGTCCTTGAAATCTATCATAATTAGGGAACATTCACTCGGAGACTAGGACAGAACTTGTACCTTGCAAACGGACACTGTTAATTTGGTCAACGTCACTGGCTACTGCTGCTACGTCTGGACTTGTGACATCTCCGTCCAAGTCATCACTAGCACGGTGAACTGCAATGGAACTGAACTGCGCAGTAGAGACTGATGATCCTATTGAAGGGCATCCCGCTTGGGACCTAGTCACCCTAGCTGTCGGGGGAATGTATTCCTCTTGTGTTTGAAAAGTTGACTGGTTTGACGAGCTCGAGGCTGGCGAAGAAGAGCTCGAGTCATGGGCCAAGGTAAGACCTCCAAGCCCATTCTTCCCAGTCTTGAATTTGAGTTGGTTTGAATAGCTTATATCCCTTCAGCGATTGGGAAATAAGTGATAGGTAATGGGGCCCTCACCTTATTATGAATCTTGTGATGAATTCAGCGTGCTTTGGGGCTTTCCTCAGGTACTTTGCTTGTATCCATTCCCTGTCGACCGGCTTGTTTTGTAAATGGCGATCATAGATAGAGGCCTTTATGGCGCTCCTGAGCTTCTTTTCGGACCATTTTTGCTTACCCATTTTTCCTATCCTGAAACCCTCAAGAGGAATGCTGGTGCCAAAGGATGAATGAAGACAGAGGAAAGTAACGCTTTATAACAATGTAGCCCAGGGAAGTGCGTGCCACGGAGAAGAGCACCCTTACGTGTTGGTGAGATTCAAGTCGTGCCCCAACATGAATTTGAACTACTAAATTATATTGAGCCAAGTACCTTCTCAATGAAAACTCCAGAGGCGTCGTTTGCTGGCATTGCAGGTGCATCTATGCCACTGCGGTGCTTAGAGCCTAGATGGCGACGAAGTCCAACAGCCTATCAGCATTTACGGACATTGGCGCGCAAGCACAGTGGGAGGACTCCGGCATCCTGCATGACTGAGCTACGAACCAGCCATAATCACACCTTACTACACATGCAAGGCTTAGTTGGCCGTCCCTGCCAGAATACGCATCAAGAGACTCATGTCCTATCACCAGTAATCCATATCAACCCAGCCAAGGCCGATCAATCAGGCAGTCTTCTCCCACGCACCCCGCCATGCATGCTCATATTATCGGATAGACTGTTTAGGAAAGGTTCATTTCTTCCCCGGGGCTATTGGAGTGCGGCGTTTACACAAATACGTTCCCGTGTGGCTTGAGATTATTGGATGCAAGAAAGGAGGGGTCGTATGCCCTGCATGAACCTATCCCATATGCAGATCCCGTGGATTTCCACTCCTGTGCCATCAGGCAGGCGACCTCGCAAAGCTCTGACTTTCAGAAATCGGTTTATCTATGGCTCAGAAACATGGTAACACGTGGAAGGCCACCTCAGAGATAAGGAGTCGCCACCTCCGTTGTATGTGTACCGGTAGGGGGTGACGGTAGGGGGTGGCCCTCACTGAAAGACGTCGCATTTCAGCAATTGGTTAGTCAGTTCTGTTGGATTGTCTTCCTGTCTGATGCTCCTCCAACAAACCTCAATAGGCATCACACAGGACATTCGTGATCGCCATGGTGGGTGACCCTAGTTGTTGATTGGAACTAGGTAGCCGCTTCCATGTCCATGGCTGCACTGCCATGTCAACGCGTATTGCTATGGATGGCTAGATAAATAATCCATACATTCCTGATCATGCCCAGCTGTTTTGCCAGAGTAGACTGTACAAAGTCGGCCCTCTTTTCTTTCACGGATAAGCTCGTCTTCTTGATTTGGTTACTACACAGATGTCTTCCACTACGGAACTCCAAGAAACTCAAACACATGGTTCCACGATGGGTGTTGACAGCACATCTGAACTAATGCTTCACGGAGCATTGGATGGGGATGCGACGAGCCTTTGTGATCGCAGGCCCCAGAGACCTGCCAGAGTCATATCAGAGTATCTAGGTAACGAAGCTCCAGAATTTCGGCGATTATCTGAGCTCCGGCAAATCGTTAGTACCTATCCAATGTCTCTCGGTTATCCTTAACTGATTGGCAAAACCAGGGGTGGAATAATCCAAGAGGCGATCAGTTCTTTGCACAACAGCGCCGAGTTGCTGATTACGCCGACGACAAGACAAGCAAGATCTTTTACAGAATGATGGAAAACATCGGTGACGATATGCACCAGCTTACTGGCGTCTTCCAAATCGAAAGCCCAGATCCGCGAAAACACTCTATCCTTGACATGTGCATGGCTCCGGGTGGCTTCCTTGCGACAGCTTTGCGCATCAACCCGAGAGCCCGAGTTTTGGGATTCAGCTTACCGAAATCCAATGGTGGACATATTGTGCTTCTACCAAGGAATCACAATGTGACACTGAAGTTTCTTGACATCACAATGTTAGCTGCCGATATGGGGCTAACAGATATCCCATACGATCATCCGGATGCTGGAAACTTCCTACCGAGCCAATTCAAGTCAAAGCAGAGATTTAACCTTGCTCTATGCGATGGCCAGGTGCTTAGACATCACGAAAGGGCCGCCTATCGAGAGAATAGGGAAGCACGTAGATTGACTCTTGTGCAACTGGCACTTGGGCTCGAGCATATCAAGCCGGGGGGGACTATGATTGTTCTCCTCCATAAAGCCGAGGCTCCAGACACCGTGCAACTGCTACACACATTTGAGAAATTTGCTTCGGTGCGGCTTTATAAGCCTACGAAAAGCCACGCCAAACGGTCTTCCTTCTACATGCTCGCGACCAATATCAGAGCCGATTGCGAGGAGGCAGCCATGGCAATCAACAGATGGAAAGAAGTGTGGAAGATGGCAACATTAGGAACGGATGATATGTACCACAAGACGCTTCTCGAGAACGCACTCGATGCTGAGGCTCTGCTGAAGGAGTTTGGCCCTAGATTAGTTGAGTTGGGCAAGGAGATCTGGGATATCCAGGCAAATGCCTTAGCAAAGGCTCCTTTCGTGAGAAAAGTGCTGCAAGCTCAGAGAAAGGCCTGTTCATACATTGAGTAAAACCCTGTGTTTTTGTTACTGCCTTGAAGAAGCATTTATGTCTTGTACTTAAGTTCTTGCACCTCCAGATATTTTCCCATGTCCGAGGCAAGTAACTCCACAGAAAAAGCTGCTGCTATGTAATAGTCATGAGGGAAATCATGGTAGACCAACTGATATTGATAATATTTCTACACATCAGAGATATCGCCCGTGGTTCGGAAAGTTAAGCTCATCATATAGTAGCTCGTCCTCCCACAAATTATTGTCTTCCCAATGAGGATACACGCCGAACCGTTCGTTGGCAATAGCATCTTCAGCCCATGGCCCCAAGACTTTGGTACTTGCCTGCCCATCGTATTCAGGTTCACGTGAGAGCCTGATGCGATCGTTCGTTGCGTTTTGCACTCTGGCTCTCCAGGCCGGGGTCATGATTCTCTGGTAGTAATTGTATAGACCAGGAAGATGGGCGACATCTGCAGCGCAGTAATCTCTAACCTCCGGTGCCATGGGACGCTCGTTGAAAACGCTGTAGCTACCGCCCTTGCGAGGATCGAATAACTTGCTGACTTCGTCCTTTCGTCTTTTCCATTCCGCCTTTGTGAGGCCCGACATAGGGCTGTGCCTCTCGATGCACTTGGCTAAGCCTGCGATGTACTTCTTTGATCCTATTCTCGTGGCGAGCTCCATCAGCTGTAGGTCTTGCACTCCAGCGAGAGAGATATTGTAGTGGCTGAACAGTGCATCCGAATCATTACGGACGTCAAATAAGACCTTCTTTATGCTTGGTGATTCCAGAATGGCTCGTAAGGACGTATCTTGGCCGGGCTGAGGACTGGAGAACGCGGCTTCCTCCAGCGTGTGCACATCAACGAGGTAGATTGTTCCTTTGTGCACAGCGTAGAGAGACAAGATGGAGATAGAGCCATTGCGACCTAGGTTTACCCCCTCTAGATCAATGAAAAGCGGAGGTGATGAATCAGGGATCACCTTGAGGGAGTCGAGCAGCTCTTGTAGAGTGGACAAAGAGTCCACAAACTTGGTTGGCACGACGGAATCCGAGGACATTATGGAAGTAGCAGATAGTTGTTAACTTGATATGATCTCTCGCAAATTATTTGTCAAGCCCAGGGCCTCCATTGAGAACACACATCAGCCAGGTATTGCGCTTTAATAGCCAGGGCGATTAAACCAACTACTGCCTCCGCAAAAGTACAAAAATCCCAACATGCCTAATACCCTGACCCCTGCTGCAAGGAAGTAGGACCCCGCCTCTCTTGCGCTCGTAATCAATGGACCCATGTTCATCACTTGTCGATCACTATCCAGCGCTTAGTAGCAGGCCGTGTCTTGGAATGGCTTGCGTAGGTGAAGTTTTGCGCCCGCGGTGCGATGCCAGGCTTCTTCCACTGCCACGTCAGGCTTTTCCCTGTTAACCCCCTAGCTTCTCAAAGGACTTTTGCTTTATTCGTTGAGCCTTGACTGGTAAGCGTGACGCTGTTTGGTTCGTAGCTTAATCATACAGGATGTCGGAGGCATCCCGCCGTCCTTGCGCGCTAATGTCTGTAAACGTTGATAGGCTGTCGGGCCTCGTTACCATCTAAGTTCCAAGTGCCGCAGCAGTACATATGCATCCCCATATGGTCAGACACGATTGGATACAAGAGATGGGAGGGTTGCATGGTTAACATTAACCAATCTTCCAGGCAAGGCAGACTCACCACTTCCGTAGTCGCCTACATAGTACCCCGCCTTCCGTTATTAGATATAAATCAATCACCCAGGTCTGGATCAAAGGCGTCTCATAGTCTAGTAGATTTTTTCACCGCGCCAACATGGGCAACGACGAGCCTGTGGCCGTCAAGTTCAAGGCTGAGACCTTGGAAACCGAGGGAAAAGAAGGTGACCTGACCGCTAGTATCCAGAGGTAGGTCAGATCTGTCCGAAGCTGCCTTCGAATAGTCCTCATCTGCCCAGGTACTTTCACACATCGACATTTTCGGACTTGACAATTGTCACCAGCGACCAGAGATTTGAAGTACACAAACTGATCGTCTGTGGACAATCGGGGTATTTCTCTAATCTTTTCAAGCACAATTGGAAAGTAGGTCGAAGTTAAACTTCCATAAGAAAGGGTACCTGCAGCTTACCATGCCCTTCCAGGAAGTAACAGACAATGCTATACGACTCGAAGAGGACGATCCGAGGGCAGTGGAAGCAATGATCCACTTCCTGTATGGATTCAATTACGATAGCAGTGGTAGCGATCGGGGCCGAACGTCTCCAATGCTGTTCAATGTCAACGTCTATCAAACCGGGGACAAGTACGACATCCCGAAGCTCAAAGAGCAAGCGAAGGAGAAATTTGCAGTTGCTCTCAAGAACTGCTGGGAAATGGACGACTTTCCCGTTGCCATCGAAAGAGCCTATTCAACTACAGTCGCGTCAGACAGAGGACTTCGAGACCTTCTTGTTGATACATGCTTGGAACATATCGACAAGTTACTGGGGAATGACGACTTCAAACGGGTCTTGAGGGAAACGCTCGACTTTGCGGCCGACCTTGTACAGAAACGAGATTATCAATCCGGCAGGACAACATACCGCTGTCCTGACTGTAGCGAAGATTGGAGCGTAGTGTGTTCCACGACTGTTGCATACTGTCCCTTATGTGGATACCGTGCCACTTGGAGTCGCCACGTCAAGAATAATACTTGAAATATGTGGTCACAAAGTACACTAGTTGTGAGGCAGAGTTTGGACACTGTATGAAAGTGAGGTGCAGAATGTTGTGAATTGATAAGACTAGGGAGCTGGACTATCTTAAGAAAATTTCTTTCTATTCACGACTAACATATGATCTTGAGCTGCAGCCGTAAATGTTGGAGATGTCAGTCAGGTCAAAGCCTGATACCAAACGATGATCAACGTTTTGGCGTAGCGGTGGTCATTGAGAGTGCATGCTTCATTGACCACCCTACATCATCCCTACAACTTAAGAGTTTCACCCACCCATCGCCCAAAGAAAAAAAAGGGGGGGAAGAAAAAAAAAAAAGAATCAGCAGTATACTCACTCGCTGAGTCGCATGCGCTTATCTGGCTTTCATCTGCCCAGTAATTACGTAGAGTTGATGCCAAAGCAGATCAGATAGTTACAAGAGATTGACGAGAATTTTTCGGGGAAATCCAAGCCCATCATTCTTGAATACAGGCCTATCAATATCAATCAATCAAATCACCATGATCAGTCCAGTCGGTCCAAGGGTATCTAATCTATCCATTCCAGTAAGATCATAAATGTCATCACCATCATCATCGTCATCACCAATCATAATTCATAAAAACAACGCATCGATCACCCCTTCCGCCCAAACCACTTCTTGCTCTTGCGCCTGGGAACGTGTTCGCGCCCTTCATACTCCGGCCCCTCATGGCTCAAAGGCACCAGCGTCTCCGGGGGCACAGCGCCTGACATCACATCGTCTTCATCAGAAGGCGGGTCCCGATCGCCTCCATCCTCATCGTCGTCAGTGAAACCCTCCTCAGCCTCCGTATCCTCCATGTAGTGTCGATCAGACTTGTTTCGGCGGACTCGCAACCACTTCTTCCACCCCTTGGCGACAGGTGCCGCAGGCGGGTCATATTCGCCTGCATCGTACCGCAGCATCGGCACCAGCAGTCTGTAGGGCGTTGTGATGCCCGACGGGTCCCGCGGGTTGAGCTCAAGGTTCAGCGTAATCGCTAGCCCACCTTCGAGGTTGACAAAACTGCCTACCCCGTCGTCGCCTGTCTTTTTGGTAGACTTGAGACTGAGACTTGTCGGGCGGCGGTGGAAGGGTCCTGGTCGTGGCTCGGCGCCGTGCGGGAAGTAGCTCTCGCCTGACTCCGGCGGTGGGAAGGGCCCGTCCATGCTCATTGTCCGGCGGTTGGGTTCGTTTCCGAGGGTAAATTCTTTGGGAGCCTGGCGGCCTCGAAGGGAGAGCCGTCGGAGCAGTCCGCCTTCGCCTGCCTTGGGTCGATCCCCGCGTGTTAGGGATAGGGTCCGCCCTAACTTTGTCGGTTGGGGCTCCTCGGTGGGCAGTGGCGATTCGGGTTCATCTGGTGTGCCGGGTGGGGTGGTGCCTGCTTGGTGGTTAGAATGGAGCATGAGAAGAAGAATCCAAATATTTGCTTACCAGGTTGGTATTCCCGGATGGAGCACCAGTTACGCCGCGGCAGCAGCCGCTTGTTATTCCGCTGCTTATTGTTGACATCGTGGGTGAAGATCGGAATCATATCTTCGTCCGTGTTGGTGTCCAGGTGATGCACGCGGTTGCGCTTGTTGAGCGTGTCGGAGACCATCTCGGTTTCGGGTATGTCCGCGATCGCCGACGAGATGATATTCGGCATGTATCTATAATCGCGGTCTTTGGGGACGTTAAGCTTGGGATTCGAGTAGAATTGCCCAATTGCTGCCAGATGTACATCTCCACTAGAGGAGGCATTAGCGGTGGCTTACTGCAACGCTTTCTCGCGCGTCCCTTACCTTAGAATGGTTACCCGGACGGATTTCTCTGCGGCAAGGTCCTGGAGATCTTCGATCAAGTATGTGCGCTCTGCTTTGTGGTGCTTCGCTGTCCAGTGGTCGTCGAATATTTCCACCTTGCCGCCGGTCTTGCTTACGAGACCGCCAAACACTCCCGCCTTACCGAGTGATTTTCGGCTGTTGAGAATGTTCTTGACCATAGCCTGGGGAGAGGTTAGAAAGGGTTAAGCGCCGGGTTTGCTCGAATTTGCAGTGACTTACCACTCGGGGGTAGGCAAGTGGAATAGCAAGCGACACGATCAAGTGTTTGGTTTCCCCTCGCACAATCTCGCGGTGGCATCGATCCCAGATCAGGTCGCACGTTTGCTCGCTCAAAATCTCGTCGGTCTGTTCGCAGTCAGCCAAAAGTTCTTCGACATAAGCAGGCACATCTCTTACCATCCGCTCCGTTCTGCAATCTAGGCCGAGGAACGTCACGCCGTCACCCAGAGACATGAACAAATTGCGGCTGCGTTGGTTGATGTACGGGCCCGGATGAGGCCCAAGCAGCCAGCTCGGCTCGTCCGCTTCGGTCTCCTCAGGCACGCTGTGGTGCTGGAACAGCAAATAATACTTGTATGCAACGTTACCCAACCCGGAGATCACGGGGGTGCTCATGAAATCATCCGAGTAAGACCCAAAGCCCTCGAGAATTTCATGATCATTCCATATATTGACCATGGGAATCTGCGAGTTCACCAGGGAAAACAGGCCCTGGGAGAACCACGCCGAATAGTGCTCCAGGAATGAGGTCTCCAGTTCCGCGCGGAGATCTAGGTTGAAAGGCGCGTCGTATTTGTCATGGGAATCCTTGATCTTGACCCATTCCTGGAAGTGCGGCGATTCCATAGTCACCCGATCGTTGAAGATCTGGTCCCCTCCACCGATCATCACGTGGAATGGACGCGTCTGGTGCTCATTGAGCACGTCTCGCCAGAGGGGATCAGGACCGCAGAATCGATCGCTGTCAGCGTGGGGCCTGAGGCCATTGGAGGAATGGTACATGATATTCATTGAGTGGCCTCTGGCGGGCACCCAGAACCCGATTGCCGGTCCTTGGTTCAAGCGATAAGCCACTCGTTGTTGCGTCTGACCCAGCTCGATCTCAATGTTGAACTTCCAGAAGGTGACGTCTCTTCCTGGGTCCGCGTACAGGCGAACACCTGGAAGCTCCTTATACGCCCCTGCGCTCTCCCCGTCCACAGGATGGACTCGGTTGGCCGGGATTGGTTGTTTGGAGCCATTGCTGTCATAGTCAATAATGCTAGCGGACATTTCGTAGATGCCATCGTCGTTTTCGATGAATGACAGATCCACCGCTTCCTCTGTATGCTCCACCGGCTTGACGTATAGTGGTCGTCCATCGCGACCCAATTTCATGAGACCCGCAGTCGGATCGACATATTCCGGGGCAAGGTGGCCGCTTCCACCCTGGAGTTCCACGGGAGGCGGGGGGAGAAGGTCCACGGGTTGGGAAAATACCCTCAAGGTCGGCGCGGGCAAATACGTGGAGCGCGAATCTTTGGTCACAATCAACACACTCCCCCTCCATGTCTCCTTGTTGAATGGCCCATTGGGTGCATCGATCCGCACCCGCTTCAATCCAGCATAGCGGAGTAAAGGCCCGCACTTCAGGAATAATGATGGGTGAAAGCGCTTGTTGCCTGTTAACGATGTAGATGTCAGCATCGATAGTTATAGAGTAGACCACTTTCTATCCCCTACGGCGATCGCTTACCTGGTAATTTCTGGGCGGGAGGGTTCTGATAATCCGTCGGCAAAGCCCTACTCCGTCTGCGGTTGCTGGTTCCGCCCTCCCACCAGGCCTTACTCTTTTCGGCGTCAAAGGACTGAAAATCGAATTCAACGGCTCCCAGCCTGGCTACCGGGGCGTTCTTCCATTCAGAAAGAGGAGGTGGTGTTGGTGGAGGGACATTGAACGAAACGGTCTGTTTCTTCGGCTTTGGTTGGGAGGTAACCTCCGCCTCAGTACTTGAAGCAGCTGGTACATTAGCGGACATGTCCCGATTAAAATTTTCGTTGGCCGAGAAAACGCTAGGCGTTTGTGCTGGTTCTTTCAACTGAGCATTCTTTCCCGTTGCCTGGGCGAACATGGCAGGTGGAGGGATGTCCTTTCTCCTGACGGATCGAGTGGAATCAACCGCCCGTTGCTGGGTCGCAGGATCCATGCGTGGCGGCTGTGTTTGATCTGAAGCCACCGTCCCAGAGCCGGAGGACGGCGGAAGCTGCGAAACAGGTCTCGTTCGGGGGTACTGGTTGTCCCGGGGAATCGGTTGGTTTGGTGAAGGTCTCATACCATGCCCCTCTGGTTTGTGGCTTACAGAGACCGCCCGTCTGGGGACATCGCCTCTTTTCATGACAGGCGCAGGTGGCTGCTGCCAATCACCTGAATGCTGGGGCACCTCGGCGGAACGTGCCGAAGTGTGCTGAACGGACGGTACTCTGCTTCGATCCGGTCGACCTGTGTTCGGTACCGTTACGGAAGCGTCCCGTTGATGACCCGAATGTTGTGCGTCTTGCGTAGACCGTTGATGGGACGTTGTTGATGTCGAATCTTTCCGGGACACAGCACCTTGTGCAGGTAGCACCGGCGACAACGTGTTACTGCCGCCCTCGCGTTGGCGAGCCATCCGTTCCTTCAGCTTCATCTCCGCTTCCAAGACCCTGGCTCTCTTTTCCTCCTTGCTGATACCGGTCAGAGTCACCTCCAATTTTTGAAGGGGCGAACGATCCGAAGCCCAGTTAGATTGCTGGTCTGACGTGGAGCGAACAGTGTTTGACCGACTCATAGTCGACCGTTGACTATTACGAGTGGTTTCGTCCTCCCCGGCAGGGGTCCCATCGGCTCGCGGGTCATCGTTCTCATCCATCGGAGACGGCTCTGGCGGGAGTGGCTTCTCCATCCAATTCTTCTTCCCTTGGGGCGGGATGTCTTTCGCCCTCTCGGCAAAGGATCGCACGGATTGATTGTGTCCAGAGGCGGTTCTGTTCTGATGTGACTTTGGACGGGTGCGCTGGACTTCTGGGTTTCTGGAGGGTGGTTCCTCCTCATCTTCATAGTCGGGTCTGGTGGTTTTCATCGCATGCGACGGTTGGCGCCTGTGCGACGCTCGTGGTATGCCGTTGGATCGCAATGGTTCGGAAAAGATGGAGTCCTCGTCCATCGGTGTGCGACTGGTGTCTGCCGTCATCGTTCCCACTACTTAGTTCCCGTCGGTGGGGTATAGAGCGGTATAATGCGCTGCGAACCCGTGTCTATTGCGATGTCTGGTTAGATTTTTGATTAATTGACATTTCCCCATATAGAAATCCATTCCAAAAAGTTATTAAAACTGATGAAACCATGCGCTCGGTGCCATGGTACGCGAAAGAAAGAGCACCCGCAAACTCACCTGGTTCACTATGGCGATGTCAAGTTTAGGACGAACAACAATGACTAGACATGCATAGTCGCCGCAGGGTGAGAAAATTGCGCGTCAGCAGACAGGAACGATGCGATCTTGGTGGATGCGATCGAACGTATGTCCGTATGTATGTAAAAGTCCCCTCGGGTATAGATGTATTCGATAAGAGCTAGTAGATTAGATCGGTGGATATACAGTGGAATGCGATCTAACCAGCCTAGATCGAACAATGGAAGACGAAGTGGGGAAGAAACAAAAATCAATAATTCAAGGGAGAATTGATACGAAGAGATGAGGGAAGAAAGAAGAAAACTGATGACGGTGAGGCCGACAAGATTATAACCAGATGCGTTGTTGAGATTAAGTCGGTGGCTGGAGTGGATGTCGGGTTGGCCCAGCCCTCTTCTTCGCTCTGTCTGTTCTGTCTCTCCTCTAAACTTCCTGCGGGGCTGCATCAGTCTATTCCCTCCAGGCACCACCGCTTTTTGATTCCTTCCTTTTCTTTTAGGAATTAGATCGAAGGTAAATAATAAGCAAGGTACACTATGGAGTACTTCATAATCATTAGACAATTACTTTGACTGCATCCTCTACGGTGTCCACGCTGCACCCGTTGAATCGGACCGTTGTCCATTGGGTCTAGTTCAGGTACCAACTGACTGACTCTGCATGATACATGGAACATGAGTCTTCTTGTCATACTTTACGGATGGATCTCTTATCGCCAGTCTGTGCTAGATATCTATCCCATCGCATGGTTGTTACAGTGGACGATCCACCGTCCTGGGGGAAGTCGAACCAGCGCAGTCGATCAAGGCGTGATCACCCAGCACAGGAATTGATCGCTTTCTCAATTACCCCTCGGGGCTATTTATAGAAAGACCAAGAATTCATCCATGAAGACCAAATCTATCCAACACAGCGTGGCGGAGGAAGTTCCCATCCTCGTTCCAGCCGGAGGGTGGTTGTTTGACACCACCTTATAAGACGAGAGTACGAGGGGACCAGAATAGACTCGAGTTGATCTCACAGCCTTGCTTATTTCTTACCACCACGCAAGGTCTGTATTCGGACGAACAAAGAAACGTGTCAGTTTAGGGGGGGGGACTCGAGGCTGAATTTCCCCAATTCCCAATTTCCACCACCCCAAACCAGACGGTCCTTCTCATCGACGGTGTCACAAAGGGAAATCATCCAGAGGATAAAAGAAAGAGATGAACTCGGGAAGTAAGTAATCATTATTTAATATAAAGCAAGAGTGGATCACTATTGTTACCTAATTCAGCTGTAACGTTGGAGATCCGTCCCTCCAAGCCTAAGGCCAGATCACTGTATTAATGCGGTGGTTTTAAGGCAACCAACCCCATCAGTCACCGCTTCATAGACTGGACTTGCTCCTTACTTACTTTACTTACTTCACTTCTACTTCACTTCACTTTTACTTTTACTTCCACTGACTTCTTACGTACTTTGTCTTGCTTTCTCCCCCCCTCTCTCTCTCCTTCTATTCTTCTCCCCAATTCTCTCCTATCCTCTTCCATCTTCATCCGAGAATTATTAATCCTCTTCCTGTCTCCTTCCTCATTAGCTCCCGCTTCTTGTCGCATTTACTTGCGGCCCCCTGACCTTACCCGATCGTCCCTAGGAATTTCCCCCCCACCTCCCTTCCAGTCCATGGCCACCATCCTTTCTGTCCTTCTGTCCTGAAAGTCGCCTTGTCCAAAGGTGTCATTTGCCACTTGCTACACTGGCACCATGCGTTTCTTCGGAGGTGCAGCGTTAGCTTTTGGCCTCTTTAGTGCTGCAACGGCTTCCCTCCATCCGGTCCGCTCCTACGAGACACATGACTACTTCGCCTTGCACCTCGAGTCATCAACTCCCCCGTCCGAAATCGCTGAGCGACTAGGTGCGCGCCATGAAGGTCAGGTGGGAGAGCTGGCCGACCATCATACTTTCTCCATTCCCCGAGAGAACGGGGCGGACCTAGATACGTTATTGAATCGCCTACGAGACCGTCGGAAGTTAAAACGACGCGCCGGGGCCGATGATATCACCTTGCTGGATAAGAGAGATGCCGAGTTTGATGGAATCCTGTGGTCGCAGAAACTTGCGCCCAAGAAGCGACTACAGAAGCGACTCCCGCCATTGAGGGATCTCCCCCGAGCGCCGGCCCCCAAGATCTCCAAGGAGGACCCCAAAGCCGTTCAGTTCCAGAAAGACGTGGTCACGGCGCTGGGCATCGCGGATCCGATCTTTGAGGGCCAGTGGCATCTCTACAATACCGTCCAGGTGGGGAATGATCTCAACGTCACGGGCGTTTGGCTCGAGGGCAACACCGGGCAGGGCGTCATCACCGCCGTGGTGGACGATGGGTTGGACATGTACAGCAATGACTTGAAGCCGAACTACTTTGCCGAGGGTTCCTACGATTACAACGACCACCACCCGGAGCCGAGACCTGTTCTTCCCGAGGATCGACACGGGACCCGATGTGCCGGTGAGATTGCCGCGGCCAAGAACGACATCTGCGGCGTCGGCGTCGCCTATGACAGCAAGGTGGCCGGGATCCGCATCCTGTCGAAAGCGATCGACGACACCGACGAGGCCAAGGCCATCAACCACGGCTACCAACAGAACGACATCTACTCGTGTTCCTGGGGCCCGCCGGACGATGGCATGACCATGGAGGCCCCCGGGGTCCTCATCAAAAAGGCCATGGTGAACGGCGTCCAGAAGGGCCGGGCTGGGAAAGGGTCGATCTTTGTCTTCGCCGCCGGCAACGGCGCGGGCTACGGCGATAATTGTAATTTCGACGGCTATACCAACAGTATCTACAGCATCACCGTCGGCGCCATCGATCGGGAGGGGAAGCACGGCACCTATTCCGAGTCGTGTTCCGCCCAGTTGGTGGTGACGTACAGCAGCGGCTCGAGTGACGCCATCCACACCACCGATGTCGGCGCGGACAAGTGCTATTCGCTCCACGGCGGCACGTCGGCCGCGGGTCCGCTGGCCGCAGGGTCCGTAGCTCTCGCCCTGAGCGCTCGGCCCGAGCTCAGCTGGCGCGATGCGCAGTATCTGCTGGTCGAGACGGCGGTCCCGGTGCATGAGGACGACGAAAGCTGGCAGATGACCAAAAGTGGTCGCAAATTCAGCCACGACTGGGGGTTCGGCAAGGTCGACGCCTACGCTTTGGTCCAAAAGGCCAAAACCTGGCAACTGGTCAAGCCGCAGGCCTGGTTCAAGTCGCCCTGGCTCCGGGTCAAGCATGAGATCCCCCAGGGCGACAAAGGTCTGGCCAGCTCCTACGAAATCACCGCCGAGATGATGAAAGAGGCCAACGTGGAGCGCCTGGAGCACGTCACGGTGACCATGAACGTCAATCACACGCGTCGTGGTGACCTCAGCGCCGAGTTGCGCAGCCCCGAAGGCGTGCTCAGCCAGCTCAGCACCGCCAGGCGGTCTGACAGCGAAATGGTCGGTTACGTGGACTGGACTTTTATGAGTGTCGCTCATTGGTAAGTCTTATTTTTATGCTTATTTTTTTTTTATGTTATTTTCAATTGAGCTAACACGGCGTAGGGGTGAATCTGGCGTTGGAACGTGGACCGTGATCGTCAAAGACACCAGCGTCAACGATGACGTCGGAGAATTCATCGATTGGCGTCTCAATCTCTGGGGAGAAGCCATCGACGGGGCGAACCAACCGCTTCACCCGCTTCCAGACGAACACGACAACGATCACACTATTGAAGATGCGATCGTAGCGACGACCAGCGTGGAACCCGGACCTACCAAGACCGGTGCTCCTGAGCCCCCCGTGGATGCCGTTGATCGGCCCGTGAACGCAAAGCCTGGGTCGACCGGCGAGCCCACCGCCCCGCCTCCGTCTCCGCCAGTGGACGACGAACCCACCCCGGCGGAGGACAATACCAGTGCCGCGCCAACGACCGCCACCACCGCCGCCGACTCGGAAAACCTGCTGCCCTCGTTCTTCCCGACGTTCGGGGCATCCAAGCGGACACAGGCGTGGATCTACGCCGCGATCGGCTCAATCATCGTCTTCTGCATCGGCCTGGGCATTTACTTCAACGTGCAACGGCGGAACCGCCAGCGGAACGACCCGCGCGATGACTACGACTTTGAGATGATCGAGGACGAGGATGAGATGCAGATGGCCGGCAAGCCCGGTACCACCCAGCGTCGTGGCGGCGAACTCTACAATGCATTCGCTGGGGAGAGTGATGAGGAGCCGCTGTTCAGCGACGAGGACGACGACGAGCCCTACCGGGATCGAGCCGCCAGTGACGACCAGGGACGGGAAGGCAGCCATGGAGAGCACGGCCGGTAATACAATAAATGGGGATTTTTGTCTGTCGCATTATTTGATCTGGGGTTTTCTTTCTCTTCTCTTTCTTTCTTTTTTTTTTTTTTTCCGATGGGATTGCGAATATGGCCAAAACCAGCATCTTTCTCTTCATGTTTGCATGTGGTGGGAACGGAGTAAGACGTGTATATATAGATAGACGTATGAACAGTACTACACCTGGCATATGAGATGATTTCAAAGCCAGTCTGGTTGTATAAGAGTCTTACAGTTGTCACGGAAGCAGTAACTACTAACTAGACGAAGAAAACGGAGAATGAGGTCAGGTGGTCTTGGCGCAATGACGCTGTTGCTTCTCCATCGGGAACAGAACAGGAACTCCACTTTCCAACTACTTCAGCCTCCGCATTGTCTGCCTTGCACTCACCAATCCTCCACCATCGTTAATCCCTTTTTTAGTCTCTATTTAAGTCCCACTCTTTATTCGCTTCGATTATTTCTCACAACCTGACCTTTCCCTCCCACGATCCCTACATTGACATCGTGGTTCCTGGCAACACAGCCCCGCCCCCCTCGAATTGATGGATCAGCACGACGACTTCGACAGCGTCTCCTGGAGACACGATCCCGACAGCGATCTCTCCCGCCCAACCACCTCCGGAACCGATGCCGAAGAGACCCCAGAGTATCATCATGATGCCAATGGCAAGCGGAGGATGAGCTCCGCCGAGGAAAGTCCTCAGGCTGGTCCGCTGGCCGACGCTGTGGATCTGGCGGGAATAGGGGACGGGTCGCTTGAGTGCCAGGTGGATTCGCCGCTGAAGGAGAATGATGGGACCAAGGATGCTTATATCTCTTACTTGGTTACGACACATGTAGGTTTCATTCTCGCTTGTCTTTCTTCTTTCCCCTCCAGTCGGGGCCTCGCGGGTATACGGCTGCCTAGCAAGCAGCTGGTCATCGAGGAATTGTCCAGGACTGACTGACCGCAATAGACCGACTTCAAGTCGTTTCAGAAATCCGATTTTGCCGTGCGGCGTCGATTTACGGACTTTTATTTCCTCTACAAGACCCTGTACCGCGAATATCCCGCCTGTGCGGTCCCGCCGCTGCCGGAGAAGCACAAGATGGAGTATGTCCGGGGGGACCGGTTTGGCACCGAGTTCACCACCCGCCGCGCTTGGTCGCTATCGCGATTCCTCAAGCGGCTGACGCTGCATCCTGTGCTTCGGCGGGCGCCGCTGCTGGCGGTGTTCCTCGAGTCGCCTGACTGGAATGCGCACATGCGGCTGCGGTCGTCCCGCTCGTCGTCGACCGCGGCGGACGGTACCGGCGGCGTGCCCGGCATTTTCGACAATTTCACCGACACCTTTGTCAATGCGTTCACCAAGGTGCACAAGCCCGACCGGCGGTTCATCGAGGTGCGGGAGAAGGCGGATAAACTCGACGAGGATCTCAACCACGTGGAGAAGATCGTGGCGCGGCTGGCGCGGCGCGAGGCGGACCTGGAGACGGACTACAACGAGCTGGCGACGCAGTTCCGCAGCCTGGTGAAGCTGGAGCCGGACGTCGAGGTGCCACTGCAGGTGTTCGCGGCGTCGGTGGAGGAGACAGCGCGGGGGCTGAAGAATCTCAAGGAGCACACAGACCAGAACTACCTGGGGTCGCTGCGCGACATGGCGGCTTACATCCTGTCGGTCAAATCACTCCTCAAGACGCGCGAGCAAAAGCAGCTCGACTTCGAAGCTCTAGTCGACTACCGCAACAAAGCGGTCGCAGAGCGCGACTCGCTAGCCACAAATCCCTCGTCGTACTACGCCTCCAACCCACTGACATCCTCCCCAGCGTCATTCATCCGGTCCAAGATGGAAGACATGCGCGGGGTAGACCACGAACAGTCGCGGCGCGAGCGGGTGCGCAAGCTGGAGCTCCGCATCGACGAGCTAACGCGCGAGGTGGAATCGGCCCGCACGACGTCGGAGATGTTCGACGAGGAAGTGGTCCGCGAGGTGGCGGACTTTGAGCGCATCAAGGCGGTGGAGTTCCGCGATACGCTTGGACAGCTGGCGGAGAAGCAGATTGAGTTTTATCAGGGAGTGTTGAATACGTGGGAGCGGTTTGTGGCGGAGATGGACGTGGATGATGTGGAGCATGGGATATGATATTCTTCAGAATGGTATGCATTATACGACTTATTATGATATCGTATTCTTCTTAATTATCGTCTCTTTTGTAGGATGTTCTATCACTTTCTCTCTCAAATCGTAAAAAGATATGAGAAACCCTCTACTCTACTCTACTCTAAACAAGACACCCCAAACCAGACACACAAAAGCACCTCAAACAACCAGGCAACCTAATACCAAGTACTAGCCAGACAGACGAGACATCCCTCGAGCGCTGAGTTCTGACCCAGACCCTAAAACTGACCCTAACACTGAGTCTGACTCTGACTCCGACGCTGGCTCTCCTCCGCCCACTCAAAATCAATCGAACTCGGCTCGCCGCGCGGATCGGAAATGATCGCTGGGTCCAGGGACCGGGAGGTGCGATGGCGGGCTCGTTCCTGTTATCGTTATCATTAGTATACTTTTATACTTCATCCAATATCATCTATATATCGATATGAAGATAACCACACCTCAACAACACAACCAACAAAGTAAAGCAGTAAGCAGTAACGAGATAGAAAGAAGGAAGAAGGAAGGAAGTACCCACCTCCCGATAAACCTGATTAGGAGTCTTATGCCCGTCGGCTACTAACTGGAGGTAGGTTTCGTGGTCGTAGTCGATTGTTGTGGGAGGATGAGGTTGTTGTTGTTGAGGTTGGCTCGGGAGAGATGGGGATGATGATGATTTAGCGGGGTGGGCGAAGTTGGCGCTGAGGGTTGTGTTGGTGTCTTTGGTTGTGGTTGTGGTTGTGTTATGTTGGGGGTGATATGTGGTGGTGGTGGCTGTGGTTGGTGTGTGTTGGGATTTGCATGATGAGGGGGACATTTGGATAGTAGTCGTATATCCAGGTAGTATGGTATGGAGGATTGTGTTAGGTTGAATTGAAATGAAGAGAGAGACTATGAAGGGCTGGAGTGTAAATGATGTGAGAGCGTAAGCGTGAATAAGATGATAGAGAAAGGTGAAAGGCTGAGTAGAAGTATATTAATAGAGGCGAATCAGATCGTGAACAATATATAGTATAGTATAAGGAGGAAGATCAAAGGATGCTGAAGATGACGGGCGGACTAGGTATAAGGCTGTGGGATCAGCAGGGAAGGACCTGGTTGTTTATATAGAGTTTTTTATATTGTTCATTCGTACTTATATACCTAGGTATTGATGCTATATGTTATTTTAATAACGGGTACTCTAGTCAAGTAAGACTTATGTATGCACACGCCACTCTACAGGAGAGACCAACAAGTAGATACACACACACATAGGGGGAGAAGAGGGAATGGCCCACAGGATGTTAATAGGGGTGGTGGCGGAGTGAGTGCGTCATGCATCGTGGCTGTGTTTTTATCTAGGATTTTCCATTCTAGTTTGAAGACAGTATTAGGGCTGGACGTCATATTTTACCTCCTACCTAGTAGAGTTGTTGGTTGCCACATAGATTTTACGTATACAAAACATCGACAACAGTCTTACAGCTTACCATATATCATGTGTAGTCAGTTTAACTGTATAGTTAACTGTATAGTGATCTAGGGTATTTTTTATCTATCTAAACAGTAACTTGCTCCAACTGCTGCGTCACCCCCGCCACGCTCTTCTTCGCATCCAGTCGCGTCTTCAGCTCCGTCGGCAGGGCCGTCAGATCAACCAGCACGCCCTCCTTCTCCGGGTGTCCGTCTTCCAGGCCCATCTCCTTGATGCGCACCTTGCCGGCGGCCATCTCGTCCTCGCCCAGGATGACGGCGAAGGGCACGCCGCCTTGCTCGGCGGCTTTGAATTGCTGCGGGAGTTTGGGCTTGACTTTGTAGGAGAATTCGGCCTGTACCAATATTAGCTGGATTTGAAGAGAGAGTATCGAAAAGGAAAAGAAAGGAAGGGTGTACCTTAAGTCCGGCATTCCACAAACCCTGACACACGCTCATCCGCTCCTTCAACATCCCCGTGAATCCCTTGCCGCCAAACGCCATGACGAAGGCATCCACCTCGCTGCTGCGGACGTCCGCGCTCTGGTCCCGCTCGAGACGCGCCTTGGTGATGGAGAAGATGCGGTCCACGCCGAATGACACGCCCACGCACGGGATCTGCGCCTTGGGCTGGAACATGCCCACCAGGTTGTCGTAGCGGCCGCCCGCCGCCACGCTGCCCACGCCCACCGTCGGGTCGTTGGACCGGTCGTCGTCGTCGCCGTTGCTGCCCTTCTTGCTCTTCTTGCTTGACTTGGGCTTCGGGGTCTCTTCCGCTGACTGCGCTGGCGGGGCGGAGCCTTCGGTGACGATCTCGTAAATGACGCCGGTGTCTGGTCGTTAGCCGTTAGTATGTAGTTCAATGTGATATCTGGACATGTTTGTATGCCAATAAATGTGAGCACACGGGTTTTAAAGAAGGACGTACAGTAATCAAGTCCACGCGCCAGACTCAAGTCAAAAGACATGCGGTCCAGCACGCCAAACGCGTCCAAATAATCCATGAGCAAGCCCATGTCGTCGAGACCCGCCTTGGCCGAGGCATTGGCCACCAACGCCTCGTCCTGCAGCAGCGAGTTCAACAGGTCCCGGCCGCCCTTCAGGTTCACGTACTTCTCGATGCGGTCGGCCACCTCCCCGTCGAGACCCTTCTCCTCGACCATCTCCTTGCGCACCTCCGCCCACGGCATCTTATCCAGCTTGTCGACGGCGCTCGAGATCGGCCGGATCTTATCCTGCGGCACGCCGCAGACCTCGAACAGCCCGTCGAGCACCTTCCGGTGGTTGATCTTGATGCCGTAGCGGCCCTGCCAGCCGAGCTCCTCGAAGACCTCGGTCACGATGCGCAGGACCTCCGCGTCGGGCACCATGGGGTCGAACTGGCCGGCGATGTCGAAGTCGCACTGGTAGAACTCGCGCATGCGGCCCTTGCTGACGGCGGGCTGGTCCCGGCGGTAGACCTTGGCGATGTGGTAGCGCTTGATGCTGCGGACGTCGGTGTTCATGGCGAGCCAGCGGGCGAACGGCACCGTCAGGTCGTAGCGCAGCGAGCAGATCTCGCCGCCCTGATCCTGCAGGTCGTAGATCAGCTTGGAGTCCTCGCCATACTTGCCGGCGAGGATCTCGCGGAGTTCGAAGACGGGGGTGTCGAGCGCGGTGCCGCCGTGGCGCTTGAAGACGTTGGCGATGGTCGTGAAGATCCGGTCGCGGAGGAGGGCGTCCGACCCGGCCCAGTCCTTGGTGCCCTTGGGGGTCTTGAGGTTGAACGACACCTTGTTATCCTTGCCCATTGTGTCTAGCGGCGGATTGTTGGGAGAGGCGGAGGAAGAGGAAAACGGACGAGACGCGGACGAAGAAAGATAGTGGCGGCGTAGTCTATGGTCGTAGTGGGGGATAGTGGGGTTCTCGAGAGGCGTCCGAAGATTTCTTTGGATGCCGATTGAGAGGCGGGAGATGCGCCAGGCGGGAGAGACTCGTGAAGAGCGCAGGAGACCAGATGGAAGTGAGGGTTTCATTCAAGGAGAGGGCACTTTGACCTTGGATGAGTCACTTCTAGTATAACAGGGACTAAAAAAAGACTCTTTCGCAACGAAAACACCAATCTCGACACCTGAACCGACAAATCCCGTGCCACGTCTGGTCTCTCTCTCTTTCCGGCGCTTTTCTACTTTTGGCATGTTTGACCGGTTCCGTCTCCCGATCCGGAGTTAGGGCTGGATGGGAGGGCAAGTCACATGTTCTGGACGGAAATGGTGGAGTTTCTGGAGTTTCATCCTCTCCATCGCTGTCTCTCGTGTTCTGTCCCACGTTCTCTCTTCTCGACAGTCTCCCTTCGGAAGGGGGTCAGATGAGCTTGTTCGGCCGCCACCCGGCTTATCTCAGAGTCTAACCCTGCAGGACTGTTTGTCTGCGGTGTGACCTGGATATCTTTAGAATTGCTGTGCACGTTGGGGAAGGGGTCGCATGTGAAATGTAAAACATATAGTATCAGCCTTGCATGTTTTCAGCTCAATCACCCTACCTATATCTATGCTGATTACCTGATCCAAGCAATCTGAATGGGTCGGGTCATGCCTTGTCTCATAGGCTTCCTGTCACATCCTTCGTATAAACCGGTATGGTCTTGTCATAGCGTCGGCCGAAAACGAGGGGCTGTCCAACCACGCCACACTGGTTTGGACAGTATTATTTTGACCTCAGTGGCCATGCTGAATTAATTAAGTCAATGTGATTCGCTCGGGTCGTACCCACGTCTGTGTGTCAATCATCGTCTATGATCAAGCTAAACCTGGGTGGTTGGAGTCTGTCAGTCATGGTCGATGGTCGGAATTCAAGTGGATCTGGGGACCCGTCATGTAAAAATACACGATTGGCCGCAGTTGCGCACACGCCCGTCTGAACATCCCGGGGTTTCCACGTGGTTCGCTGTAATAAATCGCTTGCCCGAACCGGTATGGATACCTCGAGTATTGAGTCTGGAGTAAATACGGGGTATCAAAATTAGGAATATACGGCTGAGGATGGAGTCTGGTCGATGAAACCTTCCCATGAGTCAGCTCAGCTTCTGGGAGACCACATCGTCATCATCGCCATCGTATCAAACAGAAAACGCCTTGCATGCCGCTCCAGTGTCGAATGTCTGTTTATTCCCCGAGACGGAGCCGCCGCCAAGACGACGGACGATACTGGCGTGGTAAAATCACGCAGGGAAGACTCCAAAAGAAGTCCTCGATCGGTATTAGTCAAAGGAAGATGCCGCGATCGTGGGGCCCCAACGGTAAGAGAAGGATGACCAGATCATGCACCCGCTCGAGAAATTTGCCCGAAAAAGAACCCCCATCGCGTTGTCATGCAGATTGGATCGGCGGGGAGAGTGGAAATGCGCATCGTGCTGCGGTTGGATGTGCTGAGTCGAGTTCAATGCACACTCTCCCCCCCCCCCCTCTCCCATTTGACTCTTTCGTACAGAGCTAAGCCATCGCCAGCGTGCTGGCAACGAATGAGAGAGAGCGACCGTCGACCCATTGATCCAGATGGATGCAACCCTGGCGGTTCTGACCATAGTAAACCCCGTTATTAATCTGATTAGATTGGGCTGGGAATCGGATGGTAACCGTGTCCAAAGTAGCTGCGTCTTGCGTCTTTCCTACTCCGTAGTTCTTCCCTTTTGTTTTTGGGTGTATTTGACTTGTGTGTATCTGACGCTATCCTAATTCAACCAACCTATAGTTGATTGACCATGGTCAGACAGGTCGGTGTAATGTGGAATATCTCTCATGTAAGTCATCGAGTCCTCAACAGGCTGGTCGTGGAATCTTCCGGAGGCAATCAACCGTCCATGAGGCCGGGGTATCAAACCAAAGAAATGGCGCAGCCTACGATGGTGGTGGGGACCGAAAGTTGAGTTCTTCCAGAACTAGCGCAGGACTCTTCTCTCTCTCTCTCTTTCTCTCTCTCTCTCTCTTTCCACTGTTCTCAGCAGAGACGTCAGCCTGAGATCTTCTTTGTCTCTACTCTCGATGCTTACTTCGTTGGACCCCTCCAAATCAACATGGATTGTAAGCCATTCCCCTCGTCGTACACAAAACTGTTGCCATTCAGGTATCCTCCGCAATGATTATAAAGAATGACGATCTCCTCCATCATATATGATCTTAAAAGAAAGTCTCCTCATTCAACCATACTATAGTGATCCCAACTCGCTCGGACCACCACAATACCGTACGGTACGGTCAGGTATGGTCTAGACTGAATGGTATTGTATTCCCAGCCCATTCTCTTAGTCTCTCCTATAATTCCCCCTCTTAATTGGGGTCCCCACCTGGTGGATACCACTCAATACATACACCATCCATACCGAAGGTACCTGAACCAGTCGGGTTTGCGGCGCAGTTACTTCTCAGTACTTTGCCAAACCAGTATTAAGAATACGGAGGTCTGACTCTCTCATGAGTTGATCCCCCTCAGTCATCGATTGACTATTGCTACCTTCAACCCTCAACGGTTCACTTCATCTTTAACTTCTACTTCTCTCTTCTTCCTTTCCTTCCCCTTCCTTTTCTTCCTCTTCCTCTCACTACTTTACTCTTTCACTCCTTTTACCATCCCCACCCTTCCTCCCATCAAACTCCTTTCTCGCCTTCTCAACCCATTGTGGTTCTCGACCATTCCAGGTACCGGTCGCCGCCTCCACATCTCGACTCCGCCGGCCGTTCACGTTCCGTTCCATTCTTCGCTCATCCAATTTGCCTAAACGCCTCTCTTGGTTCTCCTCGGAGGATCCGCCCTTCAAAACTCTCTGGTTCTGGTGGCGGCCGCTTAATTCCTGTTCCTTGCTGTCCTCCAAACACCTCGCCCTCCGTCTCCCCCCTCCCTCAAATCTCGCCCGTCGCCTTGCCTCGTCAATTTCGCTCTCTGTCAATTCGCTCGCTATCCGTTCGCCTACCGAAACCTGCGAGCCTGCAAGTCTACGAGTCGATTCTGCAAGTCTGCGACGGCGGAGTTGGCCGCTGGCGTGTTGCCTGAACAACTCACACACCTCGCCCCGTCCCGACGTCGGCGTCTTCCCCCCTCCGAATTGCCAGATGAAGTTGGTCTCCTACAAGATATTCCTTGACAACGATGGGGTCTTTTCTGAAGATCAGGTCCCGGAAGGATCCGGTATGTTTGAGCCGGTCGCGTTGCCCACCGTCTCGCAGAGTGTCGCCGCCGTCGCATGCGGGCGATCCGGGCGACGGCGACCGCTGGGGATGCTTGATGTCGCTGACAATCGCTAACTGCTGCCAGGCTTCTTCCACGCCTGCTGCCACCGGCGCATCTCCGCCCAAAAAGGAAGTTCAACCGCCTCCGATGACCCCGCTGGAGAAGATGCTGCAGGACTCTAGTGCGATCCGGGAAGATGGCAGCGATAAGTTTTTTGGGATGGAAAATGTAAGTGGGAGCCCTGTCGCTAGAATATGAGGCGCGAGGCTGATTTTACCGCTCTTCTTCGCAGTATGGGAATACTTGGTAAGTTATTTGTCATCGATTGTGCCGCATAGATCCTGCGACCGACGTGGAGCTGACGATATGCCGCGATAGCTACTGCAATTCAATATTACAATGTCTCTACTATTCGGTTCCCTTCCGGGAGGCCGTGATCAACTACCCGACCCGAACCCCCATCGAGAGCCTCCAAGCCGCATTGGCCGGGAATCTTCGTTTCCAGGATGCGATCGCTAACATGGAAGCCGAGGCGCAAGCGGAGAAGCAGAAGGCCGCCAACGCCCAGCGCCCCGGCGCGTCTCCCGCCCAACCCCCAAAGCCCGAGGACAAGGACTCCCCCGAGTACAAAAAGAAGATGGCCTTGCAGACCATGCCCATCTTGGAAACCAAAAACAACGCCACCAGCTACGGGATGTCGGAGTCACTGTTTACGTCGTTGAAGGATATCTTTGAGTCGGTGGTCGGGAGTCAGTCTCGCATCGGGATCATCAAGCCCCAACACTTCCTGGATATATTGCGACGGGAGAACGAGATGTTTCGGTCTGCCATGCATCAGGATGCGCACGAGTTTCTGAACCTATTGCTGAACGAAGTCGTGGCCAATGTGGAGACGGAAGCCTCCAAGCAACCCTTGCCCGACAGGAGCCTCCCTCCGCCGACAGACAGTGCGGACTCGATCGACAACTCGGGGAGCTCCGGTTCCAAGACTCCCAACACCACTCGATGGGTACATGAACTGTTCGAGGGGACCTTGACGTCGGAAACCCAGTGTTTGACCTGCGAGAAGGTTTCTCAGCGGGACGAGATCTTCCTGGATCTGTCGGTGGATCTGGAGCAGCATTCGTCCGTCACATCGTGCCTGCGGAAGTTTTCCGCGGAGGAGATGCTCTGCGAACGGAACAAATTCCACTGCGACAACTGTGGAGGTCTCCAGGAAGCCGAGAAGCGGATGAAGATTAAGCGCCTTCCCCGAATTTTGGCCTTGCACCTGAAGCGGTTCAAATACACCGAGGATCTGCAGCGGTTGCAGAAGTTGTTCCACCGAGTGGTCTATCCCTACCACCTTCGCCTCTTCAACACGACGGACGACGCCGAGGACCCGGACCGGCTCTACGAGCTGTACGCGGTGGTCGTGCACATTGGCGGGGGGCCGTACCACGGCCACTACGTCGCCATCATCAAAACGCAAGATCGAGGGTGGCTGCTGTTTGACGATGAGATGGTCGAGCCGGTGGACAAAAACTTTGTCCGCAACTTCTTTGGCGACAAGCCGGGTCTGGCCTGTGCCTACGTGCTGTTCTACCAGGAGACCACCCTCGAGGCCGTCCTCAAGGAGCAAGAAATGGAGAACATGCAATCGGCCGCCGGTGCCGCCGCCGCCGACTCGACGAAACAGAACGGGTTTCCCCAGTCACCGGGCCTGGCTCATGTCCACAGTGAATCGGCAATCCACTCGCAGGACGAACCCATCCGACCCCCAGGCTTGAGTCGAGCACCCTCCGCCCCTCCATTGTCCACCCACCCCGAACACGTCGAGCTAGAGAAGGAGAAGTCGCCCATCAAATCTCCGACGCGGTTCTCGCCCTCCACCCCCGCGCCACCGGTTCCCCCCATCCCGGAAAGCCATACGTTTACACTAGGAACCAAGAAGAGCGATCTCCAAACGAAAAAGGAGCGGGCCAAGGAAGAGAAAGAACGGCGAATAGCCGAAAGGGAGCGAGAGAAGCAACGCCGCAAAGAGCACGAGGCGAGATCCCGGGAACAGGAAGCGAAAGCGCGGGAAGACCAACGACGCGAGGAAGCGCAAATGAAAGCTGCCATGGAAGAAAGCCGGCTCTCCAAAGCGGAAGAGGACCGGCGAAACCCCGACCACGGCAAGTCCGGCGGCCTCAGTAGTCGCCTCAAGCGCGGCGTCAGCCACCGACTCGGGACTCACAAGGAGAACCAGCGAAGCTCGACAGCTGGGGCCGTCATCAGCGAGTTTCCATCATCGCCCAGCAACGGGATCCCCGAGCCGTCGCCGCCTCTCCAAAAGTCACCGGCGTCGCCCAGTGAGCCCCATCGCTCGAAACTCCAGTCCAAGAAAAACACCAGCCACGAGGAGGACCGCGACGGCCTCAAGAACAACAAGGACCTCAAACACGCACCCCGCAGCCATGGCAGATGGAGGAGCTTCAGTCTTCGCAAGAAGTCCTTCAGCGCTCTTTCATGAGCAACTGGCCGTGGGACCCGACTTGCCTTTGCACATATGACTGACCGCGCACTGTCGTACATACCTTTGATGTATCATCAACTTCTTCTTTTTTCTTTTCTTACTTGTTCAGATTTCTATCCCTGGCCTGGTCGTTATTTTACTGACCGATGCATTTCCCCTTCTTTGCCGTCTGACATTTTTCTTCCATCCATCTATGCGTCGATTGCTTGTTCCTCTGAGCCATGGGCCTTGTTGGTCCAGTTTGTTGTTTACTTTTTCATTCGTTGTTATTTTCCCTTTTCTTTTTTTCTGTCTAACATTCTTCCTTCTTTTTTTTCTTTCATATTGTTTTCTATACCTTATCCATATTGTGATACCCGTGCCTGGGTCACAAGCTAGGCAAACTGCGGCGTTGGTTGGGTGACATGTCTTTTATCTTATATTATTTTGTTACTACCTTATTTTCTTTGTTGTGATTGATTTTGTACCGAGTTTAGATACCGGTTTGATTTGAAGAGGTTCGATCGTGATTGTTCTGGGAGGTAGGCTTTTTTCTTCAAAAGATCATTCGAGAACGTTATATCGGACTGGATGTGTGTGATTACTTATATATTTACACTACACGGGCTTTGCTGTGTTGCAGTGATGGGCCGATTGGTATACATATCTCTATGAGCGGTATCGGGACGAAGGGAATTGTATGCAATCCTGTTTGAAGGTTACCAACCTCTACAGAGTAATGAATAGACCAGTCTAATTAACCGTTTGTTGCGGTACCAGTAAAAATACGGAGCTTTGTAAGATCATGGTATGGTAGATACAAGGACCCAGAATCAGCGTTCAGGGAGAACTGGAGGTTGATGCTGGCGCTGGCTTTCCTATCCATCTCGAGGCTGTTGCAGCGCAGAAGAGGCCTTGATACCCCTAGGTCATCATTATCCTGTGGCTTCGTGTTCCTAGGCGTCTTATTGGACACCTTCATCATTCACGGGCGTACCCATCCATTGTTGCAGCCATGTAAGTTGTCTGCTTAGGTTTCCGTCGCAAAGGGTCAAACAATCTCGACCCATGGAACGACACAACTCCCCGACAATGCACCTCCCCTCCCGGTCCCCTTGGTCTAGACTATTCGGATTCGCAGATCCGCCTCCGCCCCGGAGTCTGGCCTGGCCTGTCGGCCTTGATCGAATTAGATTTCCACCCGTAGACGGATTGTACACACTCCGTCGCGGGGGGGGCCTTTGTTCAGCATTACGTATGGCTCCCGAAGAGGGCTTGATGCTATTAGCCGAGTAGGTAGGTAGCTACGCCAGAATCGTACTGCACCATGAACCAAACTCGGGAAACAAAGAGCAGGAAAGAAGCATTCGAACTTGGGCCATGATCAGTAGCCTTCGGCATGACTCCATGAACCCAGACACCTTCCCGGGGCTAGGCTGGGTCTGATTTCCGATCGAGATGGAAATACACACGTCAGTTGCATTCTAGACTCATCGCAGGCAGCTCGATGGAATCAGTTCCTTAACGTCATTACTACTGTACGCCCGTGCCTCCTCGCATATAAGAAGACAGCCTTGTTCTGACCTCGAGCAGAAGAGATATGGAGATCAACGAGAAATCCTTACACCATTGGCAAACAGCATCTCCCTGAAATATCTCTCACTCATCAAACTTCACCTCCAACCATGGGCAGAACATCCGGCAAAGAAGTAACCAACCGCAACCAAGTCCGATCGGATATCGCAGCCGGGGGTTGGGAAGTTGTCTGGGGCGATCTCATCAATGAAGGCGACGCCCTTACCTTTCTCATCTCCATTCCCACAGGAAGTGTCGCAGGCTGGGTTACCCAGCAGGTCCAGGCTCAGTTGGCCAAGTTCTCTCAGAGTCTGGGCGATGTCTCTGATGATGTTGTTAAGCAAGCGACCACTTATCTGGAGAACCTAGTCAAGGGCCGTGGTTCTGGAGAAGCCGACATCGGTGGGCTGGGAGTCAAGGGTGGCTTTGCTACCTATAACCGCCACATGGAATATTATCTTTGGGGTAGGAAGGTTGGCAGTCATGTTCTGCCTAATAACCATCAACCGTACATTGCTGTGCGCGTTACCAAACCTCTGCCTCCAAAGTGACATGGGCCGGACAAGCCAACGACCGACTCACGCCGTCTTGCAGAAATAGACAGATGGCCAGACCGCGCGAATGAAGGCGATATATCTCTAATTTAGTGGTTACCAGTCATTGCTGATTCTTTGTCCAAGGTGATGGAAAATATTCTTCATATGGCCCGGAAGCACACTTGTCTCTCCAGGTAATAATATGTTTGAAAAGTCTTTTCTGTATGGATGGAAATGCACTGTATCAAACTAATCTACATGTCATAATATATGCTATTACATTAATTGGCCTGGAATTGCAATTTTGTGACTTGACGCGAGGATTCATATATATACAATTTGTATAATGTCAAAGACTGACACTGGAAAGGTCATGATCAAGATCATCCTATAGAAATGAATCTTCGCGAACTTTATCTGAATCATCCGCCTGTCTAGATTCTATTTGTAGAGCCACGAATGATACTACAGCCATGCAGTTTCTCAAGTACTGGGTTGTTGTGTCTAGTGAAGCTGATTTTGTGAAAACGTAGATCAAAATACAAAACCTGGTCTCATGCGGAATAGCGGATTTTGACACGCAAGGTTCGAAAATGTTGGAAAATGATCTGGTTTAGACACTGACATTGATGATATTGGAGGTTCCTGATTCCCCTGGTTTAGGCTTGACATGGAGAGAATTGTATATATAGCACGGACTCGAAGCGAGGTCCTCGCAATGACAAACAAAAGGCGACGATGACGTTGGACGCAGAACACTGCTGTATATTGTGTGAATAACGATTCCTTGCTGCCTGGACTCTAGGTTCCGTGCTATTTTGAGATGGGTTCGTATTTGGCAGATCCCATTCACTGGGTCAACCTCATGGAAGGCGTGATTATGTTTTGAGAAGTGTCATAATCAACTAGAGTGTTCTATGCACAGTGAATCTTACCATTCCTAGTATATATACGAAGTATATAAAGGTATATAAAGGTACCATATCCTGATAACATAGCAACTGGTATCATATATACATAATCCATACTGCGCATAAAGATTTGTTTGTTCCGTTGGAATCACTAAAGATCCGTAGAAACTTAGGCTTCGACAATGGGTAGATAAATGGTTTATGCGGTATTTTTATCAAAATGATATCTATCCCCAGGCAGTGCGTAGCAGTGTAGTAGAAAGTAGTAAGTAATAGTATAGTAAATACACGAGGTTACCGCATCAATGAAGTGAGTGGTCGCAATACCCGCGCGGTGGAAGAGAGACCTCAGTCGCTGACACGGTCTCGTCCAGCTTCCGACCGCAGCTTCTTCATCATCGTCGTCTTCTTTCTCGTCCTGCAGCGCTTGCTTGCTAGCTAGCTAGCTAGCTAGCTTGCCTGTCCGCCTATTCGCATTATCTCCCCTCGACCCATTATCCCGTAGCTTTCTTCCAGCAAGGCACCATTCGTCTCCCCAAGTTGGTATATCTGATCGGTCGAAGTGTGGAGAGGAGGGAAGGGAGGAGGATGGAGATAGGCTCCACACGATGCAACCGGCGGTTCTTGCGAGACGAGGACTTGGAAAAGATAGAATAGCCGCAGGAATCGCGAAGCAGGATCGGTCGAGGCAGGTATGAAATGCGGTCACCCGAGGATTAGCTGGTAGACGATGATGACGGTGTTGATCACGATTAGGGGTACTGTGGGTTTGTTCGTTAGTTATCGTCTCTGGAGATAGAGTCTTATATGTGTATGCATATATATGAATCTAGATATGAACAAGAAAGGAAGGACGGAAGAAGCATACTTCGCATGAGGGTCCGGATGCTGGCGATTAGGTTGACCGTCTTCGCTTTCACGCTGGTGTTATCGTATGTCGCGCCGAAGGCTGGATCAGCCTGGGTGCGACCCCATCCGACTGTAGAGAAATGGGAGCGTTAGTTTATTTTCCTAGGTCCGGATTTGTCGTGCTCGGGATAAATGGGGAGCATACTCCTGGCGAGGAAGCGGTCTTCGGAGAGGACTGCAATAGCGTTGGTGAGGAGGATAGCTCTAACGGGATGAGTGGTCGGTTAGCGGGTGAGCTGGCCAGGAATTAGATACAACGGGTAGACTCACGCATAGACGAGCTTCCCAAGGCCGAAGAAAAACATCTTGTGGAATTGACCGTGTTGGCAGAGGAGGAGGAGGCGGAGTGGAGGGAGAAAGAAGGAGATGAAGCCGGAGCTGACGATGATGATGGTGGACAGATTGGCGTGTGGGGAACCTAAGGCGGTCTCTATCAATCAGGTGTCGATAACTTATCCTTCCATCGGTATTTACTTTGCTCTTCTGTCTTTACTTCTCTCCGGCTTCGTTAACTCTTCATCATGGGCAGGGATGTCGGTAAGTAAATATTTGGTTTTCCAATCATATACCCAACATGCTAATAATCTAGTCTGGTATCTCTTGCTTCTCTCCATTCCCGTCCTCGTCTTGTTCCATCTCTCCGTCGCCCCCTACACCAAGGTAGAGGAATCCTTCCACATCCAAGCTGTCCATGACCTACTGCATTCCGGAATTCCCACTCGCAATGTCGCCGACACCCTCCGCTCCGAATATGATCACTTCTCCTTTCCAGGTGCCGTGCCGCGGACCTTTGTTGGCGCCGTCGCCCTGTCGGGGTTGTCGCGGCCGTGGATCGCCTTGAAAGCCGGCATCGATCGACAATGGCTGGGTATGCCCTGCTCCTGTCACGACCTGGGATAACCCTGAATCTAACGTGTATAGCACGCGCCATTCTGGGGATCGCCAACTCGTTCGCCCTGATGTCATTCGCCTCCGGCGTGCGTCGCGCCTTCGGACAGACCACCGCCGTCTGGTATCTACTCTTCCAGGCCAGCCAGTTCCATGTGATCTACTACGCCTCGCGCACCCTCTCCAACATGTTCGCCTTTGGCATCGCGACGGTAGCCCTGCGATGCATCCTCCCGGAGCCCGTGGCGCCCCGCGTCTACTGGCGACGGTGCCGTCTAGCCCTGTTCCTCCTCACCGTCGCGGGCATCATCTTCCGCTCGGAGCTGGCCCTCCTCCTAGCGACCACAACCATCGCGCTCTTCTGCGCCGGTCGCATCGACATCGTCCGCGACATCATCCCCGCGGGGGTACTTGGCGTTCTCGTCGGTCTGGCCTGCACCGTCGGCGTGGACTCTTTCTTCTGGCAACGCGTCCCGCTCTGGCCTGAGCTATCCGCCTTCCAATTCAACGTAGTCTCCGGCCACGCCTCCGCGTGGGGCACCCAGCCCTGGCACTTCTACTTCACCAACGCCCTCCCGCGCCTCCTCCTCAACCCACTCACCTACCTCATCGGCCTCCCCTACGCATTCAAAAAGCCCGCCACTCGCAGCGCAGCCACCTACATCCTCCTCCCACCCCTCGCCTTCATCGCCCTCTACAGCACCCAACCCCACAAAGAATGGCGCTTCATCCTCTACGCCATCCCCCCACTGACAGCGACCTCCGCCCTCGGCGCCTCCTACATCTGGACCCGCCGGGCCAAGACCACCCTCAACAGACTCCTCTCCCTCACCCTCATCGCCTCAACCCTCGCCTCCTTCCTCCTCTCCAACCTCATACTCCTCCCCGCCTCCGCAGCAAACTACCCCGGCGCAGTCGCCCTGCGCACCCTCCACGCAAACGCCCACAACACCCAACCCGCCATCTCAGTCCACCTCGGCAACCTCGCCTGCCAAACAGGCATCACCCGCTTCCTGCAGAAGCCCCCCACGGAAACACGCCTCGTCATGGCCGCCCCCGCCGGCGCAGGCCTCCCAACCCTCCGCCACGCCCGCTCCACCTGGTCCTACGATAAGACGGAGGACCCAGCACGCACCGCGGACCCCGCCTTCTGGTCCCCCTTTGACTACATCCTCGTTGAGCCGAACGAGCAGCACACGAACCCCGGGCTGGTTGCTTCGGGCCCCTGGGAACCGCTAGAGACGGTGGACGGGTTCGCGGGTGTAGCCATCGTTAAACCCGGTGAGGAAGCAGCTGGTACGGTCGAAGAGCGCGTGTTGCGCGAGTTTCTGGGAGAGCGCGCTGTTGATGTTTGGGAAGGGATTCGGGATTGGATTAGACGGCGGGTGACGCGTGGTTGGTGGGTGGAGTTGAGAATGCAGCCGAGGATTATGATTTTGAAGAGGAGGGGTGGAGTAGTGGAGTAGTTTGCATTTGGATTCAGATTGTACGTCTAGGTGGAGCTTGATTGTATGCAATTTAGCATTTTGCGTGTACATAGTTTACCATTTGGGCTGTACTTGCTGATTATAAGCAGTGGACTGACAAGATCTTGGTAGATACTGGGTTATTTTCACTCTGGTTCTTCCATAACTACTTACTTCCTGAATGGTAGTATCACGCTACACCACAAGGCATTGTCATGTACAGTTGGCGATACCATAATGAAGACAGCGTCAAAATAAACAGTCCCACTAAAGGCCAAGAATGCAAGAATAAAGAAATGAATGAAAAGAAATAAAAAAGGGTATTACGCATCATGCAAGCTACTACTCACTCCGACTCAACCCCCAACACCTGCATCCTCCTCTCCAACTCCCTCACCCAAGGCTCCACAACCTCCATATTCCCCTTGAGCGCCTCCTCGCCGCGTCCCATCTTCTCCTCCACAACGTGCAGACCCTCGCGCCACTGCGCAATCTCGCCGACCATCTCTGCCTGTCTGCGCTCGAGGGCGTCAAGGGACTCCGCGGCGTGGGCCGCGCCCGCGTGCAGGGCGCGCAGGGAGCGCAGGCGTTCCAGGACGCTGGGGAGGATCGGGTGCAGGGATTGGATGGTGGGGAGGGTGGCGTAAAGGGCTTGGATCTTGGTGGCTTGCTCGTCGCGCTGGGCGGCGGCTGGGTCGAGGACTTCGGCTGTGGAGGAGGAGGAGGAAGAGGCGGGGGCTTGGTTGGGGGAGGTGGGGTCGGTATCGGGGTCGAGGATGGTGTTGGAGGTGGGTGGGTCGAGGGGGATGCGCGCGTTTTGGGCGGCTTTGGCGGTGTCGAGGGCGCGTTTGCGCGCCGTTGCGAGGGTTTCTGCGTCGGCGGCGAGTTTGCGGACGCGGGTGGAGAGGGATTCGAGGTGTGGGGTCGTTGCGATTGTGGAGGCCGTGCCGTGGCTTGTTGTCGGTAGGGCGGAGACGGGGCTCGGGCCGACTAGGGTGGTGGTTAAGGTGGCGAGGCGCGATGTCAGGTGCTCGATTGTGGGGAGCACAGGCTGCAGGGCCGGCTGCTGCTCTGCATCGGTGGGGAGGAAGGGGTTGGACGCGCTGCTGATACCCATGGCGGCTTCGATGAGGGCCAAGCGGCTGTCGAAGGCGGCCGCGTGGGCGAGCACGCTCGCCGACGCGGGCTCGGGTCCCGGGACTGCAGCCTGTGACACCGCGGTTTCTCCCTGGTTGGCTGCGCCATCTGCCGTCTGAGCAGATGGCTCGGGGGCACTGTCTCCAGCCAATTTCTGGGCCAAGGCGGCGGCGGCGCCACCGCCTGCTTGCGGGGTGCCCCGTGCGGACGCGTACAGGCTATCGACGGCACGGCTGAGTTCCAGGATGCCATCGTCTGTGGGCTTTTGCTGTTCCTGCGTCTCGGATTGACCGGTCTGTTCCTTGTCCGGTTGAGCGGCCATCTCATTCTTAAGCTCCTCGACCTCGCGGCGGAGACGCGCCAGTTTCCGCTCGACGCCTTCGTCCTCACTGTCGCTCAGGTCGCCAACCTCCTCGACCCCGTTGGGGCCCGTACGGCGCTGGCGGCGACGCGACTTGCTGCGGTAGGCGCGGCGCTTCGCGGCGATACTGTCGGAGAAGTTGGCATCGCGGGCGTCCACGGTGGCCCCTAGGAAGTGAGCACGGGCGGCGTCCGCGTTGACGGGTTGACGATCAATGTCGGGGTTGGTTGAAGGGACACCATCGTCGGAGGTGGTGCGAATAGTTTGTGTCTGTGATGTTAGAGTGGTGTAGGGGGGAGGTTAGATGGGTGGTGGATTACTTGGATGGTGGAGGCATCGTCGGTGAGATCGGGAGTTTCGTAGATGTCAGGGGCGAGGTCCTTTTCTTATTAGTGGGGATCATTTAAAGTTGAATGTAAGGACATACCAGGTCAGGAAGACCGGCATATTTCTTGTTGAACGCCATGGTGAGGGAAGCTGTCGCGATAGTAGAGGAAGTATGAAGCGGTGGGAATCACGGGGTCAACACGACGTGGTCATGTGTGGCGCTAGGACGGAGTGGGTTAGCGCCCACGTGCCAGGGGTACTGCCTGAGGTGTCCCCGACATCATGAATTATGTGGATAAATAAAAATAAATACACATCTATTTCTTATACCTCTCTCTCTCTCTCTCTCTCTCTCTCTCTCTCTCTCTCTCTCTCTCTCTCTACTCACCTATGTATTTCTATTCATAAGACAAAATGATATATATATACAATTACTAAATAATATATAAAAGTATCCAAGATCAATATAATATATAACACATGTAGCGAATAGACCTCCTGCCAAGCACAACCCCGGAATGATAACCCATGCATGGAACAGGTGAAAGACGGGGTTCATGGGAGATGTAGGAAATCACTTCTATCCTCCGATCGAATCATCCACTGACGTACCTGGAAAAGCGAGACAGAAAGCAGGCACCACATGCATGTGAGGCCAACAGCCTCGGGTGACCCAAGACGCGGGGCAGGAGAAACTGGAGAAACGATGACATTATTGGTTCGACATTTCCTCGTTGGACTCCGTCACATTCACGCGCCTTCGTTCTTTCTATTTAACCCTCTTCTTTCTCTTTCTTTTTTTTTTCTTTCTTTCAACTTTCTCTCTTACACATTCTCTGTATACCCTGTCTACTCCGTACCTCTCTACCTGTCTACCTGTTTACCCCTCCTATATCCGCTCCTATCCTTACCCCACTACACAACGACACCATGGCTGCCCCCACCGACGTCACGATGAAGAACCTCGCCGGAGAGTGGGTGATGGTATGTTATTCTTATACCCAACATCAGTATACAGTATACAGAAAACTAATAATATCAGGATAAAACCATCTCCAACCCTACCGAGCCCGTCCTCGCCCTGGTACGTCTACCCCTCAATCCCCCACCCCTCAACCCCAAAACATTATGATGAAAGAAGAAAAAAAAAAAAACTAATCCCCCCTCAAGCAAGGTATGGGCTGGATGACCCGCAAAGCCCTCAACATGGCCACCATCACCCTCAACGTCAAGCACGCCGTCCCCGACCCCGCCAAGCCCACCGTCCACCAGATCGACATCGCTCAGTCCCTAACGGGCGGCATCCCCGGCACCTCCGAGACCCGCATCACGGACTGGGAGAAGCGTCTGCACGAGGACCACGTCTTCGGCAAGCTCGACGGCCAGTCGCGCTACCTGCGCGGCTCGTCCGTCGACGGCAAGGTGCGCCCTGCTGTTGTCGTCAACACCAAGGTTGATGACGCCGTGCTCGCCGAGAAGGTCTCGCGCTTCCTGCGCGGCGAGATCCTCGCTGATGGCGCTGAGACGGAGGGGTTCCTTGTTGAGACTGAGGCGGCGGAGGAGTTTGGAGAGGGTGAGGGCCTTTGGTTGCAGAGCTTTGTCGTGAATGAGGAGAAGAAGTGGACGGCGGAGCAGGTATTTTCCCTTTTTCCCCTTTCTTCTTTTGCTCTCCTTATCCCTAGGCACTACCGGTGCCTACGCATGAAATGAATACTAATGACGGCAGGTCTGGGGCTTCGAGAACATCAACGGCCAGCGTCTCCACTGCCGTCGCGTGGTCGTCGCCAAGGATGGCAAGTGCGAGATGGCGCGACTTGTCTATAGCTTCAGCAAGAAGGCCTAGACGAGTGGGGTTTGTAAATGAATAAACGAAACTATGATATTTTTATTGTTCCATCAGATATATCGAGGGTTAACCTCTACTTCGTAGAACGACATCCATCATAGTATCAATATACATCGTAAAACAACGCCCATCGTAGCATCAAATCATACATGCAAGGATCTCCGGGTGAACGGAGGTGTTCCCCTCATTTTTAGCCGGGGTGGGATAGATAGGATCACATGGCGATCATCCTGCACGGTGACGATCCCGGTCTGCACAGCCTCATACCGAGACAACTGAAACGTAATAAGTAGCATTCCATTTTTTCGAGAAAGGGAGAAAAAGAAAAGAAAAGAAAAGAAAAAAGAAAAAGAAAGAAAGAACAAAAGAATAGAGGAAGAAAGCCAATTTATTCAAAACCAGTTTACTTTTCTAACTAGATCTCAAACTAAACCAGCATTCACTCGTTAGCAGTAAGTAGCATGTAGTCAAACCCAACCACTAGCTAAATGCTTACGACGGCGTCGGCATGTTCACATGAGCCTTAGTGCTCACGGCATCCTCCCCGCGCCACAAACTCGTAACCGTCTTCTGCTGCGTGTAGAACTGCAAGCCCGGCTTGCCGTAGAAGGTGTTCGCGCCGCCGCCGGCGATGCTCTTCTTGTTGCCAGTGAAGGAGAACATGGGGAGGGGGACGGGAATGGGCACGTTGATGCCGACCTGGCCGGCTTCGATGTCCTTCTGGAAGCGAGATGCGGTGGGGCCGGAGCTGGTGAAGATCGCGGCGCCGTTGCCGTACTCGTTGGCGTTGATGAGGTCGACGGCGTCTTCGAGGGTGTCGACGTTGACGCAGACGAGGACTGGGCCGAAGATCTCTTCGCGGTAGCAGCGCATTTCCGGGGTGACGTTCGTGATGATGGTGGGGCCGATCTGGAGAAAATGTTAGTGAGTGGATATTATAAGGTTGGAATGATGAGGGATGGTAGCATGGATAGGAGGGGGAAGGAGGAAGGGGAGCGTACAAAGTTCCCGTTGGGGTAGTTCTCCGGCGTGTAGCCACGACCGTCGAGCAGGATAGTAGCGCCCTCCTCCTCGGCCGAAGCGATCAAATCCTCGATCCGCTTCTTGCTCTCCGGGCTGATGACCGGACCCAGGTCGGCACCCTCCTCGAAGCCGCCGTTGACGCTGAGCGCCTTGGCCCGCTCCGCCATCTCCGGCAGCCAGTCCTTAGTCTCGCCGACGGACACCACGGTGCTGAGCGCCATGCAGCGCTGGCCCGCAGCGCCAAAGGCCGCTCCAACGATGGCGTTCAGCGTCTGGTTCTTGTTGCAGTCGGGCAGCACGGCAGCGTGGTTCTTGGCGCCCAGGTTGGCCTGCACGCGCTTGCCGTTGGCCGATCCGCGCGTGTAGATGTACTCGCCAGCGCGGTTGCTACCCACGAAGCTGATGGCCTTGATGGCCGGGTCATCCAGGATGAAGTCGACCGTCTTGGCCGATCCGTGGACGATGTTGATGACGCCCGGCGGGAACCCGGCCTCCTTGGCCAGTTCGGCCAGAATCATGGCAGCGCCGGGGTCCCGCTCCGACGGCTTCATGACGAGACAGTTACCCGTAACGGTCGCGACGGGGATGCACCATAGGGGAATCATGGCGGGGAAGTCTATATCCCGAATCTCGGTTAGCGTCGGGCGGTAATCATCGGACATCTCTCCGACATAGTGGAGAATGCAACACCGAAAAAACACACAAACAAAAAAAAAAAAAAGAGGGGGGGAGGGTCCCTTACTGAAGGGGCAGATGGCGGCCACAACACCCAAAGGTTCACGGTAACTGCGGGTCTCCATATCCTTGGCGACTTCCAGGACTTCCCCAGTGAGCTGGGTGGTGATACCACAGGCGGTCTCAGCGACCTGCAGACCACGGAGGACATCTCCCTTGGCATCGGCAAAGGTCTTGCCCTGCTCGAGGGTGATGGAGGCAGCCAGGCGGTCCCAGTGGGCACGGATCAGGCTGACGAACTTGAACATGATCTGCTGTCGGGCCATGACGCTGGTGGCCCTCCAGGCCGGGAAGGCCTTCTCGGCCGAGTCGACGGCGGCCTTGAGCTCCTCATCGGTACTCTGGGGTACGCGGGTGACGAGGTTGTTGGTGGCGGGGTCGTACAGGTCAATCCAGGTGGAGGCCTGGGAAGGGCGGAACTCGTTGTCGAGGAAATTGGCGGTGTCGATAGGGTTTGCGATCCGCTCGTGCGTCGTCGGGTATTCGGTAGCGGTGGTAGCCGCGGAGGTGGTTGCGGGGGTCAGCTGTCTGGCGGTGGCATGGAGACTCCGCGACACCACCAACGAGGGTGACGACGAGGTGCGCTGAGATGCTCGCAATGGCGAGTAGCCCGTCGAAGACAGAGAACGAGATGCCGACGCAGCAGCAACTCTGAGGGACGAAGTGGCCACCGCGGTGCGGGGAGAAGCAGCGCGGAGAGCGGGGAGAGAGCGAGCCAACGACCGACTGGCGGCCATGGTGGATAGTGTGATAGTAGATAAGGTGGGAAGAACTGAACAAGGGGACAGTGTAAGAAGGAAAAAGGGAAGAGGGAGAAGAGAAGAGAGAAGTGGCGAGGATGAAGTCGAGATAATAATGAATCGGAGTACCTGATGATTTCCTGGGGTAAACTTATGTTTGGATGGGCTGACTCAGCTTCCCCATATCTCCAGCTCAATCGCCGAGGTTATCCGCGGGTCGGCGATCCCATCCAATCAGGGTCAACTCCGGGGGATGAACCAATGGTTACAGTCTGGATCTGGTACCTCTCGTATCATGGATGGATCCGAGGATTCATGGTCTTATTTAGCTTTATAGATATAGCTGAGTATTATTTATGTTATGTCTTGTCTGTACCTTCTATCTGGATATCAGTCTGGAGGGTGCTTGACTCCTCTGATATTCCGATATCGCCGATGTTTTAAACACCTCCGAGTACCTCCTACTAGTGACTACCTACTACTACCACCACCACCACCACCACCACCTACAGGTACCTAGTAACATACAACTACTCGATAGATGGATAACAGATCCCGATCATACCTAAGGCATGGAACTCTGAATTCTCACGTAATCAAACTACTTTACAGGCGACATTCTTCCCTCCTAATCATTTCCACTCGATTCCCCGGATGGTAGCAAATTCGATAGAACGACTTGATTGAACGCTCAAACTGTGGTATGGATTAAACATGGTTCCTCTTTTTTTTGGCTATTTTTTTTTATTCTTCCTGTCGTGGTGGTGGTAGGCGGTGATTCCTTCGGTGCTTTCTGGTGTGGACACGTCTGGGTTTTCCATTCCTTCCCGACAGGACCGGTCCGATCGGGCCGGTTTACTCGGCAGACGACCGCGTGTTGCGCTTGGTGGCGCTGCCCTTGCCCGTGTCGGCCGCGGAGCTGGTCGCCTCGCCCTTCTTCTCCTTGGGGGCGCTGGCAGCCGCCTTGCCCTTCTTGGCGGGCGCGGCGGCTGGGCTGCTGGCGCTGATCGCACCGACAATGATCAGGATCATCGTCACCAGCAGCGCACCCAGACCACCCGCCACCTCGGGCACCGTCTTCACGGCGGTCAGGGGGTCCTCCTTGGCCAGGATGACGAATTGGTCGACCTTCTCGCGGACGTAGGTCACGGGGTCCTCCTTGAAGCTGACGCTGGTGGTCGCGCCCTCCTCCTTCTTGGGGTTGAGCGCCTCCTCCTCGGCCTTCTCCACGGGGTGCTTGACATCAAAGGTCTCCGCGCGGAGCTGCTTGGCATCCTCCTCGGAGTGACCGATGTAGATGTTGTCAAAGAGGATGTCGTTCTGCATGGTCCAGATCTCGAAGCCAATCTGTGTTGGTTAGCATCTCGCCCACAGAAAAGAAGAAAAAGAGAGGGGGGAGAGAGAGAGAGAGAGAACGTACACCACCCATGGGCTCAAAGTTGGCAGGGGTCTTGTCCTCAAAGTAGGCGGGGTTGGCGATCTTGCGCGGCGCCCACACACCCTTGTAGGCCGGGTTGTCAATCAGAGGCGCGCTCCACTTGCCCTTGTAGGCCGGGTTCTTCTTCATAGGAGGAGACCAGGGGCCGCAGCCAGAGGCTTCGCTGCACTTGGGGTTGGGCACAGTGGGAGGGATCCAGTCTCCATCCTCCTCGTCATCCCAGTCCTCGGGCTTCTCGGCCTCGGGGTCAGCGATGGTGTTAGGCTCATCCTCCAGCCAGTCGTCGGGGATGGTGGCTTCCTCGTCCACAATCTCGAAGGGGGCCTCCTCATCCCAGTCGGCGGGCTTCTTGGCCTCGGGGTCGGCGATCTTGGCCTCGTCCACCCAGTCGGCAGGCTTCTTATCCTTGGGGTCGTCAATCTCCTTCTCGGGGTTGACGGGAGGGTTGAAGTCCTCCAGCAAGTTGCCATCCTTGACGGACTCGCCATCGATCAGGATCTGGAAGGTCTGGTCGGGACGGACGATCAGAGTGTACAACGAGGTGAGTTTGCTGGTGCGAGCAGCAGGGGGCGCCTTCAGGTGCTTCTCCTCGTACTCGCCGGTCTTGGGGTTCTTGTGGCGGAAGATGAAGTGAACCTTTGGGAGGGTCAGTTAGTGAATGCTACGTTGTGATTCGGGAGGAGCCGGATTTACCTTGTTGGTGGCACCGCACTTGTCGGGACCAAACATGATTACGTAGGGAGAAGCGTTGGAGAACTCCTCGGCGTGAAGCTTCTTGTTGTCCTGGAGGAGCTTCATGTAGGCACCACCGCAGACCAGAGAGTCTATTGAAAGAATCCAGTCAGCCATCTACTCCGGTTATCGCGTCGATTACTACCAGACGTGACTTACTCTGCGGCTTGACCTCATACTGAACGACGAGGGTCTTGCCCTTGTTGTCAATCTTCTTGGGGAACTTGGCCGAGATGGCGTGATGAGCGGCCGGGTTCTTGACGACGAGACCCTTGTCGCCCTCAATGCCCTTCAGGACGGTAGGCTCCTCGACGGACCACTCGCCCACGTAGGCCCAGTCTTCCTCCGAGGTCGAATCCTCCTTCTTGGCGTGCGACGGAGTCCACCTGGAGGTCCAGTCATCGGTGAACTGCTCCAGGAAAGGCGCCTTCAGCGTGGTCGGCTAGAGGACAAAGTCAGCAATTGTGGAGAAACCGAGGCGCAAACCGTCCAGACAGTTTGCGGGGGGATTTCACGGGAGACATACGGTGAAGGTAGGCTTCTCAGCCACCGAGGAAGCATCGGCCTTGGGTTCAGCATCCTCAGCATGAGCATAACCCATGAGAGTGGCCGAGGACACCAAGGCAGAGGTAAGCGCGGCGTTGACACGCATGGTGGATTAAAGAAACAAACAATAAACTAAAGCAGCGTTTGAACCTCCAAGAGATGGAGAAAGAGTATTAGAGAAGAAAATAAATCAAATTGTAGGTGAAGCCGAAACATAAACTAACCACACCAGGAGGAAGAAGGAGGGAAAGAGGTGGAAAGGGAGCAAGAGAGGTTATATAAGAAGAGGAGTTGCAGTCCTCATATGTGAAGCTGCGGGTAAACTCCAAGGTGGCCTCTTTCATCGCTCAATCCGGTTTAGCGGTTCTCCAATGTTCTTTGCTTTTCATCAAGTCACTTTGCACTAGATTTACTATGAAAAGGTACTTCACTCTTAGTAGTCATTCTATTCAGTATTATTGTTGATTCATTGTAATTTATTATAATTTTTAAAGAGTAGATAAATGTATTCACTCCCTTTCTCCACATTCACTTCCAATTCTGTCATGAATTAATTCTTCACATATATTGCTTGTCAAGTCAATTGCGCTACTGCTCCACCAATGGATGCACAAGCACGTCTATCTTTCCCCGCTGAGCGCGTCTTTTTTTTTCCTTCCTCGACCAGTACTTGCGTCCTGTACAACCACTCTTGGTCGCACTCTTGTCTTCATAGACGGGATTATAACTACTTTGGGTTGGATTAAATTAAGAAAGGATCAGGACAGCAGAAATTGTTTGTCCCTTGATTAATACCTTTTCCACTCATCATCAATCCTCGAACTACCCCTCCAATCTACCACCCCACACCATGACGGACGTCAACAATGATCATCTGGTTCAATCCAGCGATCCTAAACACCCAGCCAACTTGATCCCTGATCTCTGCCGTCGATTCTACAACTGGGGGTGGGTCACTGGCACTGGTGGTGGCGTATGATCTCTCTCCCCTCAGGCTCTTCCCTGTCGCATTGAACAACCAATACTAAAGCCACCTCCTATGATAGACCTCCATTCGTCGTGGCGACCACATCTTCATCGCCCCCTCGGGCGTGCAGAAGGAAATGATGGAACCCAATAACATCTTCGTTCTCGAGTTCCCCACCCCCAAGTACCCGCCCTCCGACCGCAAGTACATCCGCAAGCCCCTCGAGCTCAAGCCCTCCGCCTGTACCCCCCTGTTTCTGGCTGCCTTTGAGCGCGGTGCGGGATGTTGCATCCACACCCACTCGCAGTGGGCTGTTCTGGTGACGCTCCTGGTCGAGCGCGAGTTAGGCGCCGAGGGTTCCTTTGAGATCAGCAACATTGAGCAGATCAAGGGTATTCCCAAGGGTAAGGGTCAGGGAATGCTGGGTTTCTTCGATACCCTGCGGATCCCCATCATTGAGAACACGGCGCACGAGGAGGATCTGACCGCGGGTCTGGAGAAGGCCATGGAGGAGAACCCGGATACCTATGCGGTTCTGGTGCGGAGACACGGAATGTAAGTTTGCTGCCTGATGTCTTATTTATGGTGATTCTAATTCGTTCGATAGTTATGTTTGGGGCGACGATGTTGTCAAGGCGAAGACTCAGTGCGAGAGCTTGGATTATCTCTTCCAGTTAGCGGTGGAGATGCACAAGCTGGGCCTTCCTTGGGTGAAGCCTCAGTAGTGGATTGCATTATAATGACGATGATGATGAATGTATAGATGAGAGAACCGTAAGCTAACATCAGCTTTGAGTACAATATTATGGAAGTCCAATGGGCCTGTAGTCTTCAATGGTAATGACACCGCGTTATTATGGCACTGGGCGCAGGTTTGTCAGTAAAGCGACATATCCTGCTGCAAAATAAATATAATAAAATAAAATAAGCATGTTATTTTCACTATTGTCCATATAGTATACACTGGTAAGCTTGGCAGTGAGATTGTGCTGCAGACCCGTTGATGCGGGTCGTCATCGGTCTAGTCGAGTTCAATCCGATCCAGTCCAAGCTCTCCCTCTCCAACTACTCCTCCCTAGGCTCCTCCTTCTCCCCCCTCACATCCTCTCATCTCCCACTCTCCTGCGACATTTATTTCTCCTCTCTTACCCCTCTCCTCCTTATTATCATCCCTTTGCTTTCCACACTCCTCTCTCATGGATCTGGACTCTGCGGATTCCCCGTGGGGCGGTAAGTAGGCAGTCACAATCATGTCGCATCATACTTTCGCTGACCCGTGTGGACAGATGAGCCCTCCCACTCTCCCCAGGCCGTCGGGTCATCGAAATCGGGCGCCGACGATGCCAGTACGTACTCTCCTTGCGTAGTTTTCTCCTTCTTCGCCAAACAATCCCCAGTCGCGGGCTAACTATGTCCTCCGCACAGCCCCCGAACAATCGTCACAACAAGCGAGCGTGCAAGCCCCCCGATCGCCGGCACGACGAGGCCCGCGAGGCACCCGCAAGATAAGCGCACATGCGACCAAACTGGAAGCCGTCGACGATACCGTTGATCCCCTGGGTCCGCTAGGGGACAAAGCCAGCGAGACCAGCCCCACGGCCACGGAACAGGCTCCTACCCCGCCCCAGAAGGAGGCGTTCGCCGGGCGTAATGTGCGCCCTACTTCGTCCACGTCTCAGGCTTCCGGGACGGCCGGCATGGCAGACTCGGTAACCCTGGAGGAAGACGGTGGGGGGTTCCACGGCCCTCCTCCGGTGCAGGCTCCCACCGAGGGCGAACCCTCCAAGAGACAGTCGGAACCTAGTATGAGCTTGGAGAAGGCGGCGAACCCGACCTTTGACATTTCTGTGGGTGATCCGCACAAGGTGGGGGATTTGACTAGCAGTCATATTGTATACCAAGTCCGGACCAAGGTATGTTGTCCTCGAGGCACGGTTGAAATGTGCCGAGTCGATGACTGAGGCCTGCTGCAGACGACTTCAAAAGCATACCGACAACCTGAATTCTTCGTCAGCCGTCGGTACCGCGACTTTCTTTGGCTGTATAACTCGATGCATAACAGCAACCCCGGTGTGGTTGTGCCTCCTCCGCCCGAGAAGCAGGCCGTTGGCCGTTTCGATACCAACTTTGTCGAGTCGCGAAGAGCGGCGCTGGAGCGCATGCTGAACAAGATCGCGGCGCATCCCATCCTCCAGCAGGACGGGGACCTCAAAATCTTCCTGGAAAGCGAGACTTTCAACCTCGATGTCAAGAACAAGGAGAACCGAGAGCCGGACCTCGGTCAGAACAAGGGCATGTTCAGCTCCTTTGGGATTAATGTCGGTGGAGGTGGTAAATTCGTCGAGCATGACGATGTAAGTCGATCCTCCCCGGATGTCTTTGGAGACAATGCTGACGATCATGGCGTAGTGGTTCCATGATCGAAAAGTCTACCTCGATGCGCTCGAGAATCAACTCAAAGCCTTAATGAAATCGATTGACGGGGTTGTGGCGCAACGGAAGGGCCTGGCAGAAGCTGCTGGGGACTTTTCTGGCTCTCTTCAGGCCTTGGCTGCGGTCGAGTTGTCTCCGGCTCTGTCGAGTCCTCTGTACGGTCTTTCCGACTTGCAGGTTCGCATCAGAGAGCTGTACGAGCGCCAGGCTCAGCAGGATGTCCTGACCTTGGGTATCACCATTGACGAGTACCTCCGCCTGATCGGCAGCATCAAAACGGCTTTCTCCCAGCGGCAAAAGGCATACCACAGCTGGCACGCAGCCGAGGCGGAGATGCAGAAACGCAAGCATACCCAAGACAAACTCCTGCGACAAGGAAAAACCCAGCAGGATCGTCTGAACCAGGTCAATGCCGACGTGGCGGATGCGGAGCGCAAGGTACACCAGGCAAGATTGCTTTTTGAGGACATGGGGCGGTTGATGCGGAATGAGCTGCAGCGGTTTGAAAAGGAAAAGGTGGAGGATTTCAAGTCGGGTGTCGAGACATTCCTCGAGAGTGCCGTCGAGGCTCAAAAAGAGGTGAGTACGCTGCCTGTTTATGCAATTGGGCTGTTGGCTAATATAGACCTCTAGTTGATCGAGTTGTGGGAGACGTTCCTCTACCAGCTGGATGCAGGCGAGGACGGCGCCCCTTTCTACGCGGCTTCTGGTGGAAACGCTCCGTCTCAGGCGGGAGCAGATGAGGGCAACGCATCAGCTTCGGCGTCAGTGACGGAGGGAGAGGCATGATCGTTTTCCATTTGAGCCTGGCCAATCTTGTATAAAAGCGGACGCGCCGATGTTTTTTTTCCTACAACGATTCCTCGGTCATTGAATGTGCTTGTGGCGCGCCACCTCCTGATTGACTTCACCATATGACAAAGTCTGTGACTATATGCAACGCGGGTAGTGTTAGGCTTCCTACAAACCAGAAACCATAATACCATGCCGACGCAGACAGATACCAGTAATCCTCACACCAACCCACCGTATCCATATAAGCAAGAGAAAAGAACCGCATCATTGCACATGATACATTGCACCCAATGATATAAAATAGTATACTGTACAAGAGAAATCCCCCAAAGCCAGGATCTAGACACAAAAAACGCAATTTATAATAGAACAATAACCGACAACAACATCCTTCACCCAAAATCTAATTCTTCTTCTTATCCCCCGCCTGCACCTCCTCCTGCCCAAACGAGCTAATCAAATCCAACAAATTATCCTCCTCCTCCTGAGCCTCGGCCTCCGCCTGCGCCTTAGCGGCAGCAGCAGCAGCCTCAGCCTCCGCCCCAGACTTCTTCTCCGCGCCCTCCTCAGCAGCAGCAGGCGGGGTATTCGCATCCCAGATCCGGCCGTACTTGGCACGGAACGCCGCCAACCGACCGGCCTCGTCGTCCTCGACGCTCATCAGTTTGGTGGACGAGGGATTCCACAGCAGCGTGTTGCGGGTGTCACGGGTGGAGCGGTAAACGGGGGCCGGGGACGTCGTGCGCTGCATGTAGGCGCTGCCGTCGGAGAGGGTGATCAGCTGCGTGAAGGTGTAGGGCCGCTTGGGACGGCGCAGTAGCGTGGCATGTCGGCATTGTGTGCAGATGAAAGTCGTGGAGGAGGGCGTTGTTGGGAGGCGGCTGGTTGCTGAGGCCGCGCTGCGGCGGAGGGAGGTGTGGAGGGACATTGCCCGGATGTTTTCGGGAGTGTTGGTATAAATCGACTTGGGTGGAATCGTTCCCCGAGGTTGGAATAGAGGGAGAGTGTGGTTCAATTCGAGATCGTGGTGGTTTCAGTCGACTGGTCTGGCTGGATTGCACATCATGGGTTGGTTCCTGGGGGAGAGAAATATTTGGCGGACGGGTGCCTTACGTAAGCGTGTACATATCCGACGTTTTCCTCGCCTTTTTTCCCTTGTTCCTGACGGATGTCAACGTCACTTTTACTGCTTCTTGGTTTATACGGTTTTGTCGCTCAGACATGCTTGTCGACTGAGATACTTGAGTTTTGTCCTCATGATGACTGTGGGGAGATCTGATCGTCTTGCGCCCAGTGTCTTCCTCGTTCTTGTTCCTTGAGCCGACGGCTACTATCACCGGCGGAATGAATCGCTCTTTCTTGCGGGCTGTGGCTTCTGTTTCTCGGATCGCAGGTCGCTTCCCAGGTAAATATTGGCATTTTGTTCATTCAATCTTGCTCTTGGTCTGACAATTCATCGCCAGAACCGCGAAGTAGCTCTACCGCCATCACCCATCACTGCATCCGTGCCACTCAACCATGGTCCTCCATAAGAAACATCTCGTCCGGCTCATCAGCAGCCGCAAACGAGCCCCCAGCGCCGGTCAACACACAGGATAGCCCAATCAGCCAAAATAGCACCTCGGGAAACAATCTCCCTCTCCCAGACCAAGTGCGTCTCCTCATGCGCCGAGTCCCCTACCCCGTCGCCATCATCACCGCCACCGACCCGCACGACAGCACCGATAAAGCCTTCCGCGGAATGACCGTCTCCTCCTTCAACACCGTGACCCTCAGCCCAGAGCCAGTCATCTCCTTCAACGTTCGCCGCCCCTCAGAGACCCTCAGCGCGCTCCAGGCATCCACCCGCTTCCTCGTTCACCTCCTCGCACCGGGCCCGGTCACCGCCGCCCTAGCCCGTGATTTCTCCAAGGGAAACCACAACCTCAAGATACTAAGCGGCGAAGGCGACTATGAATTTGCGGCCCATGCAAGCGACCCGGCTAGTAAGCCGCTTCCGTTGCTGCGCAGGAAGACCCCTCTCGCCACGGATGGAGAAGTGAACCAAACGGATGACTTCCCTTTCGTCTTAGAGTGCCAGCTTCATCCTAAGAGCGTCGACGTCTATGACCACACTATTGTCGTTGGGACTGTCGTGCGTGCGCTGTCATCACATTTGGCGCACCCGGATCCGCACGCGGGGACCACCTCCGCGGAAGAGTTATGCCTGACATATGCCAATACGCGATTTTGGGAGATGGGGCATGAAATCTAACCTCTGATGCCTTACTCCTCTTGAGACCACAGAGCAGTCTGAATAAATTTACTACCCCGCTTCATATGGCCTACCCACCCGACACGGCCAAACTTACCCACCTCCATCCTACCTGGTTTGTTACTTATTCATACAGAGACAAACAAGTCTATAACTCTCGATGGGCAGGCGTCCCATCAGAAGAGATCTACACCATGGCTCAAGCAGAAGCCAAAATCTTGACTGTACAATATACCCAGCGAACTAGAAATAGACATGTATGATACAATAGACTGTACGTCTACATGGACTTCAATACCAGTGCCATCCAACCTCCGGTCTGACTGTCGTATTTTCACACCGTCCTTCCTACTGATGGAGTATTCAAGTCCTGTATTATTTTTGTTGAACCGTAAAACTACTCTCGACTACATCAAGTCTTCCCTTCCAACTACCAAACCGTATATAACTACAACTTTCTTGCAAGATCGGACCCAACCCATCGATGTATGGGTGGATTTTCCTACATTCAGCTCAATGGTATGTCCACACAGAAGCACATTTTAGCGAGACAGAATGAATGTCCCCATCCACCACTGCCTAATGTTTTCTTATACAATGGAAGAACGAATTATCAATCGATCTTGAACTTGCAATACAGTTCTCGCTTCGGGAATGTCGCATCACTAGCCGGCCCACATGTTTGTCTCATTATCAAACAACACTTCTAGCCTCTCTCGCGTGCCGTGGTCCAGCTCCCGGACTATAAATTTTAGTCGCAACCCACAACAATTTTTTTCCTCATCTTCCCACGCTTGTAACCGCAAGGTTCAAGAAACGGATCCCAACACCAACGCCTGGCGCGTTTTGGTTGTTGGTATATCATGTGTCCTTTGGCAGTTTACACTCCATTGGACACTCGGCAATAAAGAGTGAGTTCATTCCCTTTTTACCTGTTATCTATCCACAACCACACCCTTTCAGGATGAGTTTCCTTAACAGGAGTATCCACGGCCGAAAAAAATCATGAAGGACCTTTTTAAGTCTCTAGAATTACTCTGATCTGCAATGTCATTGTTCTTTGATCATGAAGGCCTCGCTGTACATGTTGCTAACGTGATTCCTCTCAGGGCTGTGTCTTATGATGACTACGGTTTCTTCGCTCATTCGACTCCATATTATTAAAAGGTATGCGGGAAATTATTCCTTTTTTTCTTTTCTTTTTTTTTCTGTTCTTCATCATGTCGAGCTACTCTCCTTCGATGATGACATTATGACACGCTATAAGGCATTCCTCAATCTTAAGTTATCATGTGGAATCTGTGTTTCTATTAAGTTTCAGCCTTGTCTGACCTCGTTGGATTTTTTACTCTTGTTAAATACATTGATCTTTGTTATGAATTGCCACTAACAGACGATCAATAGGTAAACAATATTCTTCTTGTCAATCCTCGCCTATGGGCACTTCGATGAAGACAGCTTGACGAACGGGCGGACAGACTGTGCATCGGACTGCATCCACAAAAAGCGGAGCGTACAAACTCTGCGGGTGTTAGTCTGGTGTATCGATTGTTGAGAACTCGTCACCTGAGTCCTACTTCATCCTGTCTATTGTCAGAATTTCTAGGAGTAACAGGCCATACTAACGTGCCTCCTAGGTATTCTTACAATTCTTTCCCTATCTGTCATTTTGCCCTGCATCCAGTCAACATATGATGAACGTGTTTTATTCACACTGTTTGATCTGTGCGTTCTGCGTATGGAAATGAACTTTATACAAAAATTCTGATTTAATGAGGTATGTTGATCGGCTGTCTTCACCTATATCGCAACTGCTAACATGTCTCTAGCCTGAAATCGTTGACTTGTCACTTTTATGCACATTTTACATGCTGGCGACTTGTTACTGACTCGATAAGCCATCTAGGATTTTCATCTCGTAACCGACTGTCAACTGTCTTTTAGTGTGAGTACCCTTTTGCAGATTTCATTTGTCTTACATGATGATCAAAATTTATTGCTGTTTTTACCGAACACCATTGAAGAAAAACCAAATTTCACCTTGGAGAACTGATGCTTCTCTTCTCAACTCATGTTGTCACGAACCTACCGTTTCAGCGGCTAACGTTGCTTAAGTTTCTAGGACAACTCGATACTAGTTAATAATGCACTCATTTCCAAAATATTTGATTCTCATGGTGTAGCCCGTAGTTACCACCGTAAACCCATTACCCACATTCAACTACCTACCTAAGCGTAAAACAAGTTATGTTTCTTATGCCACCCCTCCAAACTCTCCTCCCCATAAACATCACAGACAACCTTCTTCCCCTCAGGCCAACGAACCCACGCCGGCTTCGACCCCGCCATAATGCATGTCATCTCGTCAGGAGCCGGCAACTCGGTATCAATGGCCGACGCAAACGGATGGATCAGCTCGGGCCAATGATGATCCCACAGCCACAGCATGGTGCTGCAGTTTGAGCAGAAGTTGCGCTCGCTGGAGCAGACTTGCTCGTCTGCTTGGCCGCGGTTTTTGATTGCGGAGTATTTTCTACGGGATTGAGTTAGCTATTTGATCTCTCTCTCGTGTATACACACGACGACGGGATCAGAGGGGGCGGGGACGCCCTCTCCGATAATCATGAATGTAGATTACATGATACAGTACATACTTAATCAGATCCTTCCCCTTCTTAATATCAAGACTAGAGGCGATTCCCCCGAGATTGACACTTCCGCTGTATCCGCCGACTTTGCGACAGATGCTGCAGGCGCAGAGCTGGTAGGGGACGGGTGTTGACGACTGGAGGGTGAATTCGATGCCGCCGCATTGGCAGCTGCCTTGTAAATTCCTGTTCTCACATTAGGAGAGGATAATTTTTCGGTATCGAGCTTTCTGAGGTATCTGCTTACATGGGCATTTTGTACTGTCGTTGGTTGGTTCTTTTTGGTTTCTTGGAAATGGTTGGGTTGTTGAGAGTTATATGTAGGTAAGATATGAACGTCATGGATATATCACTACCCGCATCTGACCGTTAACCATTGACCCCGCCAGCAATAACCTCCACGGATTAAATTCCGAGGTTTAGTTCTTACCCCGCAATTTATTGCTGAGGTGTACTGTGTTGCCTAACAGTATATGATTTATAGTTATTAATACAGTAAGCATGTTAGTTGAATGCCGTCTTCATGTTGAAGAAGCTCGAACGTGTACACAGCACTGATCCCTAGGAAACACTCAAAGCACCGGACGTCACGTCTCTCTACTGTAAGGTTTAATTGAGTGGCTGTTGACTACAGCCATTCCAAGACCGTCGGGCTCCGATCATATTGGATCTGAATATTGAAGTAATTTCCACACAGTGTGCACAGACGGCATCTTCCAAGGTATTGCCAAGCATATGGATCCTTTTGAGATGCGATGTAGGAACATTTGAGAAGTTGTCTTGTGTTGAGTCATGTCTACCTATCAGACGAGTCATTTGGATCTCCTCTGCACTTCTACTGTTAACGCGAAGGCACCCCATCGCTACCGATGTGGTGGACACCACCAGTCGACCTAGGAGAGTGTCTGCGCTGGAATGTACAAGGCGTTGTACACATTACCTGTAGTTTGAGTAGCGAAAGACCAAAGGTTGTGCAAAATCATGACACTCATAATACATCCAGCTATTGCTTCTTCCAGATACGAGAATTGACTATGTTGCTGTTGATCTATTTTGATTGCCGGAGTTATCGCCAAGTAAGCTCTTATCGAATTTGACTAGGGTCTCGCGAAGAAAGCAATACCTAACTTGTCCATTTGAATCTCATCATCGATACACCTAGATTCGTCAATTTAACCAAACAATGCCCTAGGTTGGATCGGACAGATGTCGTGAGGTTTCTATCACAGCGGTGTTATAATACTGTTCCAACTGATCCGGGTTACGGTCTATAGATATATCCAAGCCACTGCACGTCTACGAATACCGAGGACTGTAAGCTTGCTGCTTTCAGCTCCTGGCATGATCTATACATCACAGATAAGACAGAGCTTCGCGACCGAGAGCTAACTACCATATTATAGTCCAGCCTAGATAAAAATTTCGATGCTAATAGTCAATAACAGGTGAAGAACTCTATCACTCAACACCGAGCAGCAGATAGCCCGTGTATGACACCGTCAAGAGGAGCCGAGGATCGACAGCCATACCACATCAAGACTAGCGCATTTCCAGATTAGGGTTCGGGAATGATCATTTCGAGTAAAATTGCTGCACCTTAATAAAAACACAAGCCAACGCCATTAACCCCTCCAATGCTAGGGAGCAGAAATGCCAGTGAGTCACTTCTAGGGGTCTGGCCTGGCCCGGGGTCGGTGACAATTGCTGTTCCCGGCTATTGTACCCCGCACGTTATGCAACATCGATGGAACAATGGAATTAGTCATTTTTCAGCCTGGCGGTGAGTGGCTGCGGTGGGATGGTGGGCTTGCTTTTCTTTCTGGATTTGGTTTTCGGGTTCAGTATATTATCATTATTATAAAATTAGACCTATTATCATATTGTCTTACTAGTACTACTAAGTACTACTACTACTACTACTACTACTACTACTACTACTATTTGTACTGGATGTCGGCCGAGGTATAATCATTTGTTATGTTTGGCCTGTTTGACATGTTTTGCAGATGCAGGTGATTTTTTTTCTTCCCAACCTGCGCGACTGTTAGCGTTACGCTAATGGTATCATTGTCTGGATGGAATATTCTTGATCGGCGGTTCAACGGATAACAGGTCAAGTACGGAGTATGCTGGGTATTATGTAGTCCCGTCATTTCCAGTTCACATCCCCAATTTACAGATAGGTAAATCCAACCCCATGTACTACATAGTACACACTAATCCAGCGAGGGGTGGTAACACTAGTAACGAGAACAATAAACAGAAACAAGGACAATAAGATGTAAAGTAACGATTCGAACCGACATCAAACAAGAACAAAGAAAACATAAGAAACACAAGAAAATTAAGACCAGCCACGTGCCGTGGCCGGTCTTCTCGGCAGGCCCAGCCATACCTAATAAGATGGTCCGAAGAATCCCGATTGAACTCCCCCCTCCCCCCGAGCTTCAGCCCTAATGGCTTGTAACCGCGTGGCTTGCTAAGCGATCGTTTAGCATGCTTTTACACCGTCTGGTAAGACTGTGCTTCCCGTAGATTCATAGCTGTGCTGTTGGGAAGATGGTGTCAGGGTTGAAATCGAGTGGATCGTATACTAGAGGTGGAATGGACATCATGCCATATTGTACTCCGGACGTGGTTAGTCGCTTGATGGTTTACTCAGTGCCTGTGCTGATCGTCTAGGTAATTGGGGAATAATGTGTGTGTATACGTCTGTATGTTGTTCAGAATGGATGATGAGGGGTACTTGGCTTTACATTGATTATTGATTATAGAATAATGAATAGTTTGGATTAAGTTTTGAAGTACATGAGAATGAAGATCAATGGACTTGAAGTTGAGACCTCGTGACTTGAAAGCATGTCAACCGTACCGAAGGGTCTAAGGATTTAGGATACACACCATGATAAGAGATTTACACGAGTTAATCACCAAACGATTATAACGATTTAATCCTGATAGGACGCCGAACACGGGAACGTCTGGATAAGTCTAAATACCACTGGTCACCTTTACCTGACTAAATTTGATCAAGATGGACGAACCATGTCTGCAGAGTGAGAAAAAAAAAATTCCCCCAATACACAGGACGATTCTGTTTTGTCCCATTGGATGTCTGTGAAGATTGTGAATTTCTTTGAGGATAACCAATCAGTTGTCATTCCACTGGTGTTGATTACAGGATGTACCAATGAAACAGTATGTCATTGTATGGTGCGCCCTGGCTGGTGGACCCTGTCAGTGGCTGTAATGTTTGATTAAGGGACTCGACAGTTGACAGTATACAAATGTACCTTGATATATTAAATTCTACACGTACGGCATAGATATCCTATTTTAAAAAAAAAAAAATGAGAGCAATATACCTATCATTAACACCATAAAAAGGTAGGTGTACATTTGAAGCAAAGTCGGAAACCGATGTTTTAGACTCCAAATCGAGTCCAACAATTATTACCGTTAGTTACTATGAATGATATGTATCAGACTGGAGAAATTAAACCGGTACTAATAACCAGGACATTAATGTCACAGATAGATCGTCCAGTACAGGCCAACCCGGCCCCAGCTCATCAGTCAGCACCGGCATAAGCCTAGTAGTATAATTAGTATAATCCGGTCATGCCGAATACGTATAGTTACATGCCTAGCAGGTCCACCTTGGTCCGAGACTACGAACCTTTCTAGGCTGCTGTATGATATCAGATGTTATTATGGAGACTAATCATGTGTGAATATGACTTCTTTTATTAGCTTTAGGGTAGGTGTACTTCTCTTGGGTCTGTCATTCTTGCCATTGCCATTATCATGCAACGGTATAGAGCACCCGATCGTAGTAACCAATTGCATAGCCGGGTTCGGGTAAATCCCCAAGAGACGTCATGCTCGAGTAGGGAGCGGATATACAGACAGATGAATTGAGTATTGGGGGACCAGGATGGTTGCCGAACCGCCATTGTACTGGGCTGTTCATGGAGGAGGGGAGGGGATGGGTGTGGATGAGGGGCTAGATGATCACATGGCTTGAAACCGTGAGAGGTGAGATGGCCCATCTCTTTGCTCTTCTCCAAAGAGAGGGGAAGATATTAGTATTCCTATCCTGGCATTGTCGACCTGACACAGGGGAACAGCTGCTGCGGCCGTGGAGTAGTAGTATGGCTGTCTGCGGGTGTTATATATAGAAAGGTACAGCCGAAGATTACAGATTCGGACTCGGTTGACCACAGCCTTGCGTCTGTCCACGGGGGCTGTTCCATTACGATGTCTAGGTATATACTTACTGTATATACAGTAAGCCCAGGTTGATAAACATCAACATGATAACGATCTGTTCCACGTCCATAATAGTGTCCGAGGAAGAATGGTTCATACTCCACAGAAGCCCTGAAGGCCACTAACAGAAACCAGAACCTCCGGAGCTCCGCTCAATTATTCGGACCTTGCTTTAGTATTATTATCTGCTGTGTGTGATTGAAAAACCACGGACGTCCGGGACTGTCTTTTATTTGATTTTCCTTTTTCTTCTTCTTTTCTTTTCGTCCCTTAATCACTCACTTTCAGCCAGTCACCGATGATAATGTTCCTGGTCCAATATGAACATGGAAAAAGTTAATTACGTAGTGGTACCCTGATGAATTTATGAATTACTCTGAAGAACCCAAGTTTACAGTAAGTAAAATTGGCCTTAGGTAATGAGTAAAAAATGAGACTGCTGTCTCTAGTAAACTACACCTTTTTTTTTTTTTTTTTTTTTTCTTTGGCGGATTCCACAGTCAGGCCTGACTTTCCTACTGCGTTCTTCTCGGCATTTCTTCGTCCACCCAAATAATAATAAGAAAATCATAATAATAATTAAATCAAACCAATTAATAAAATAATATTTTCTGATTTTCTCACTTCTCTCTCACACACTGCACTAATTACTCTCTTCCCTTCTCTCTCTTCTCTCCCTCTCTCTCTCTCTCTCTCTCTTCCTTCTCTTCCCTCTTCTGTCTCTCACCCCTCCTCCCCCTCCTCATCCAGTCTAGGACTTTTTCCTTCTTCTTCTCGTTTCCTCCGTGGGTTCCACTGTCGGACTCGCGGTGCCGTTGCTGAGAAGTAGTCTTTGACCTTCAGTGCGCCTTTTCCCCGTGCCCCGATTTTCTCCTTCCCACTTCCTGTCTTTTTGCGGGACTTCCACTGGCAAGCCCATCTTCAACGCTTGTTTCGTTGCCTTTTTTTTTTTTCTCCCCTTCATCTTTTTTTCTCCGCACGGGTTTTTCGCTTCAGACTACCCTGTCATTTGTCCTCT